AATGGCGACTGGAGGACTACGACCACATGCAAAACACCATGTTTCTTCTGGAAAATGCCAAAGTAAGATTCTCCGACTCAAGATCAAACCTCATTTTAATCATGTGTTCATGGACATCCACCTAATTTGTAGCAAGGTACATACAATTTGTATCTCTTGTGATTTGCTCTATGTTATTTGACATCAGATAATTGGAAGGCCGCCCTTAGTAGGAACATGTAGATTTTTATACAGTAGTTATGGCACAACACCAAGAGCACAGTTTGGGTGGAACTTCATTCAGTATCTTCAGGAATTTGTTGACTGAATACAATGCTTATTCGTATTGGTAGGTTGAACCTTCACACAAGACTCTTGTTGCGAGCCAGTGGTGTACTCAGCGGTCATGGCGGAAGTATTTGGGGGCGAACTGGAAGAGGCGATATTGGATAGGCACTATGCGAAGGTGCCACACGTCACCAAGGGCGGTAGGCATAATTGGAAATGCCTACTGCAAGGTTGTCCTTTCCCAGGAACATTTTCCCAAAAAAATTATATCGAAAAGCATTGGAGGAAAGACCATGTGGAATGTCATCTCCAAATTACCCAGAAGCTTCCACCTGGACCAAAGACGACTGGAGTTTCCAGGAAGGCTGACAAGAAAGAGTTGATTGACTCTTGTGACAAGCATTTTGGTAATTTCTGTCAACGTTGGATCAAGCACAAGCAAGTTAAGTTGGACTTCTTTCGAGGCGAGGTATGCAATTCTTTTTTTGGCAAGTTTTTTTTTTCTATTTGCATTGTTTATTTCAAATTGAATTCAAGTAGACTTCCACAAATAATTTGAGATTTATTATGTTCAGATTGCAATAACCGTATATATGTTGCAGAATTGACAGTTTGAGTTGTGTGTCTAGATTATTAAGGGGTATTTCGACCAAAAGATATATTCTCTAATGACGGGAAAGGATATAGGAGAATTGGAGGAAACTCCAGTGATTTTGAGGGCCATGAGACTCGTATGCAAGAATTTCCTTCCAGGTTGGAACATGTTGAGAATTCCAGAGTTTTCAAATTTTGTCTTTGATCATCTTGACGAACTACTGGATCCCTGTAGGAGAAAGGCACAGTTCGTAGATTCTATTCAAGAGTGGGTGAAGGGAGAGCACGCCAAAAACAGAAAGAGCAGTCAACTGCGAGGTATGAAGAAGTCAGAGATTGACATTGACGAAGTTGAAGCCATGGAAGATCTTGTGGCAATCTTGAGTGCAGATGACAGTTGCAGCGATTTGAAAGCTGAGGCAAAAGAATGGATAGTATTCTGTGGTAAGTACAGTTGGATTGAACAATCCAACTGGAATCCATCTTTGGAATGTAATGAACAAATAATCTTGAAATTTCTAGATTATCTCTATAGTCCAACGGGCAGGAAAGCTAAACTTGATCTTGGAGAAACCGTTCTGAGAGGTCGAATGAAGCGCATGGCAGACTTGGGTGTCATCGAAGATGAAGAGACAGCTCGGACAAAGGTCAGACATTCTTACTCCTGACGTAAAGATTTTCCAATTTGTAATGTTTATGTTACAATTACATATATTGTAGTTTGGATATGATCTAAGAGTATTGTGCTTGTTATTTTTTTCAGGGTGAGATTTCAAAGTCAGCTCTTGATGAATCAGAGATGTATGGTTTCGTAGAGCCCATACATCCATTTTTTATGTCTGTACATATATCATAGAAAGTTGAAAAGTGAGGAGCGAAGGTTGAAGTCAAGAGGATGGATGCAAAAAAACGAAATCTTCTCTTGGAGTGGGGAGCGAAGTATACGGCAGACGAACTTTATACGGCAGACGCCTCATATAAGATCCGTGTCAACACACTTGAAAACAAAGGGTCGGTAAAATGGGCTGTTGCTGCCAACAAGTGGTGGAATAAAGTTGAACTGTTTGCAACAGCGATGTCTCTTGTTAAGGATCTTAGCAAAGGACCAGAACGTGATCGCGGCGGGAAACGTGCAAGTAAGATCGTTCTCAAGCATTTTCTTTGAGCTTTAATTTTAACTGAAATATGTTGTATCAAAATGATAATATCTGCGATTGGGTTGCTGTTATTACAGATAGGAGAACTCGTTCTTCAGATGGTAACATGGATGTAAGCGTCAAGAGAAAGCCACCTGGTGAGAGTACACGACGTGCTAACATATGGCGATGAGTTGAAAGTCGTACGTGGACTTCGATACTGGTTAGTTTCACTTACAAAAGTCTTAAATGGCAATTTTCATACTTGTTTTTTTTTCCACTCTACCTAGATAGGCTCCAATGTGGCTCAAAAGAAGTGGTATGGGGTTTTTTCTCCTCATTTCTTCCTTGTAGTTGGTGTACTTGTCCTACTTTCGAAGAGGAGGCGGATAATTATATGTATTTTGAATCGGTGTTTCAAATCGCTATGCTTTTGCTTCAGTAATCATGGTAGTGTAGTTGCTTCATTCTGGAACTCGAAATCTGCTGATGTCAGTCTGAATTGGATCCTTAACGTATGGTTATCCTTAACGTATTTATAATATCACCGTTCTTGGATTCTGGGACGGTAGATCAGTATCTGATTATAATTTTGCTTTTTCTGATACAGCTTTTATGGTGCCAACGAAGGATGCAAGTGCGATGACAAGTCCTCATGCAACCCTTGCAATTGCAAATGAGAGAGAACAACTCCAATTTATGCTGTTTATATTCCACGAAGTCATCCTCAGTCGACTGAGGATGATGAGCTGTAGCGAAAGTTTTGCAGATCATGTATGCAATGGCTTTAGGACGCACTCATCACTTTCTGGAAGTTTGACTGTGCTTTCAGTTGACAGTTCGCAGCTTTAGAGTTTTTGTATCGGAACAAAATTGGAATAGAGCTACATCGTGCACTACACATTAATTTTTCTGTACACTCGGATTTTTCTACCGTCTCAGACTTATTTGAATTATGAATTTGAAGCCTTGGAGGCTAATTTTGAATCTTTTTGTATTGTGAGATGTCAGCGTGGTTTTTAGTACCAGTTTGGTTCATGGAAGCTGTAAGTTAGGAGATAGTCAATCTACATGGTGGCACACAGGTCGAAAGCAAAAATATAGGGTCACATGAAAGGGAGAGAAACATACTCTACAAATCTAGCTCAATGATAAGAGATACAAAGAAAAGGAATCGGGACTACCTTCTCCATAAAAAGTCATTTCTTGTTCAAACAATATCCCCCGCCTATTTCTGTGTGTTTATAAACGCAGAGATGTGAGATGTAATTGTGAAACATATAGCTCATTTTGTATTAACTGCTGTCGGATGAAGAAACTTACTGTATGTTGCGACCAATTTTAATTGATGTTTGAATTTTTTCATAGATTTGGATCAAACTTCGATTGCGATTCTGCTTTGTATCGCAATGTAACTTGATCACTGAACCTGACAACTGACAAAGGAAACATGCATAGCTTGGTAAAACTCCTTAATATGTCACATTTTCATATCACTTGTAGGTGCTCTTCTCTCCGTCTTCGTGTGAAGGAAATGTATTTACCCTCCATTCATTTAAAGTAGCAAGATCTGTTGCCCATATGAGGTCGAGGTAAATATCTGAACTTGTTACATCCGATTCCGTGTACGCTTGAAACGCTCATATACCCGAAATTGGAATCAATAATTTAGATTCAACACTCGGTACTGTGGAATTTAATAGATGATCTATACTCTTGAGAGACGTGAAGTAGCACTTGCTCAGCCAGGGCGAGGAGTCTATGGTCTTCAGGTCATAGCAGGTTCATATCAACGGGTACAGTTTGTATAAATGTTACCATAGATCAGAAAAAGTGTCAGGAATTTAAAAGATTGTCACTCTCTCTTATATCCATACATAAGAATAGACTAAGCTCAAACACGTCTCAGGCATCCTTTTAGTAAGAGTCTGGTTCACCGACATATCTCCCTTCCGTTCAGAAATTGAGCAAGAGCCCTCAAAGATTATCAAAGAAGAAGAATTTTAATCAGATTTGGAACGTTGTTGTCAGGTCTCCATGTACCGTAATGTTGGACTTTACCTGTGACATAATTAATACTCTGCTGTAGATCATACTGAAACTGAAATGAATGTAACCAGATAGACAGGACCCGTCAAGATATTAAATTCTGCACGTCTCCTTATTACCAGTTTTCTAGACAGATTGTGACTAGCCCAGTAATACGTGTAGGGCATGAATCTCATATTTTTTCTCCTGTAAATTTCACTCGGAATGATCTAATCCATCTGAGGTCCAAACTTTTGACCTCTCAAATAACCAGTTCTACAAACTCCTCGTATGCTCATAAATTATGGGCTTTGCAAGTTCTTCTTGGCAATGAAAATCTTCTTACAGAAGATACCCTCAATTCATGACTTACTGATCATGAGTGTTACGGACTTAACCAAGAATCTCAAGTGCGTTTTTTCTTTTGTAGCTTTAAGTACAACACTTCAAGAATCGTCTCTTGTATATGCGAGTTGCTTTGGTTTGACCATCAGCCGGTCTTGATGTTGCTGGAGTCGAATCAAATATCGTCCTCTTCAGTGCATAAATTTGTTCTATACCAGTATACCGAGGAAGATAGTTTGCCCATTCCTGCCATTTTCAGATGAGTCATTCATTCCGGTTGAGGGCATCCCATCTACATGGTTGCCGGGTCCGCCGACCCTCCCCGCAAAGTGTTCTTTTAGTCCATCGTTAGATACGTCTGCCGGAAAGCTGAGCGATCTAATTCAATCACTTTGATGCTCCACCGGAAATTGAGTGCCAATGAAAAACCTGCCCGGTTAGCCTGCCCGCACAATCTTCCATCTTTGGTCCAAAAGAGGAGAGTGGCAGCGAAAAGAAGAACTTCCGTCACGGGTCATTGCAGGATGACACCTGCCTGGGTCTATGAAGGCCCTATATAGGGGCTATGTATAAGTTTGTGCAGCTAAACCCGTCCATCGGAATCTTATGGGAGAAGTATGCTGAGTACAGAGTATTTCCCGTGTACACGACAGTAATCCTTCCCGCCTCCTCTGTATCTCGGAACTTTGAGACAAGTTCAAAAGCATTCACGTGTCCGTGTCCGGAGCTGGAGCTGGACTGCTGGACCCTTGGAACCTGATCGGGCTCTGACATCGAGGAATTTGAATCGTCCGCGGCATGTCCCGCATCTGAAGAAAGACACCAACGATGTCATCTCTGACCGAAATTTCGGTCGATAAAAATTTAATGCGAACGATGCAGCGCAAGAGCTCCAAGAAGCTGATTTTTCAAGTGAGTTATTCGATTAACCGAGGTTGAAGAGGGCGTAGTGTGCGGATTGTCGAGGTTGGCAATTCGTTGATGGTCCTGGCGTCTGGGGCGTGGGTGAAGATGAAATTTAGAAAATTCGAATGTGATTCATGTCTGGAAGGTTTTTAAACTTGAAAGTTAATGATGTCAATTTGTCTGAAGCAATTGCACGTTACTGACCCTTATCAATCTGCTTTGAAATCGACGCTCGATAATATGGAACAATGTAGACGACCACGATCGTTGGGATACATTGCTAATCCCTTCTAGTTTAGAGATTTTGTGTACTGAAATGTTAAAGCAATTTGCACCCACTCCACAATTACAAGTTTAGAGTTTACTTATAGCAAAACAGTCTATCCGTGCCTTGCATTTCTTCAGCCCGTGAGCTAATATTGTTCATAAGAACGTGAGTGGTCGAGTCTGTCGATGAATTAGTTTTTGTTTGAGGAAGACATGAAGTGCTAAGTTTTGTCAATAACGTTAATGTTTTTGCTCCACAGATTTTGGCGTACTCGTGACACGACTGAATCATATAAGATAATTCTTCTGCAGATGTGGGGATGCAATCCTTGCAACTCTGCGCAAACGGCTTTCCATGGATGATTTCAAAATTTCCCAGAAGCAGCTCACAGAACAACAAAGAGAGCGAATTACTCAAAATTTCAGAGCTGCGAAAGCTATCAGGGACAGAAAGCGCTCTCAATTGTTCAACACCCCTCCTTCTCCATCCTCGATATGGCCAAACCACCCTGGACAAGGACGGTTGTCACTCGATGGTTGCACTTCTGAGTCTCACTTCAGGTTTGTGCACCTAACGCGATTGATAACTCTCAAACTGCCACCGATAACTTGCTGGAAATATTCCTTGGACAAAATTTTCCCTGCAGAGGTATCGAACTTTTCTAATTATTTTTAGCTCTAGTCCATATCCAGCTACCTAAGGAATTTTTATTCGCAAATTGATCTTTTTCTTTTACTCGGGTGTTCTTCAGTCCAGTTTCTAATTCCCTTCCTGTAAGCTAAGAAAACTTTGAACTATTGTAGTTCCTTAAAATGTGGAGAGCGAGTATAACAACGTAGAGGACCCATCCCCATTTAGTCATAATCTATCTGAGTTGACCGCAAAGAGTTGCTTATCGGCATTTTCTTCTCAGAAATATCATTTGTCGCCTATTTTTCTGATGTGTAGGAGCCCACCGATTTCCCGATCAAGAAAGAAGACACACATTGAAGTCAGTACACACGAGATGCCGAGGAAAGCTTTGAGTGAACTCAGCTCAAACGCTATATATCGTTTGAGGAAGTTCCAGGGTTCAGAATGTGTGACAAGTAGGGGGACACCGCCTAAGACTGAGTATTGTCATAAGATCGGTGATGGCGCCATTGTTCAGTCGAGAAACATCGGATCCTGTCCAAGTATTCCTGAAGCAAATGCAGCTCTGACCTCGATTCAATCACACCAGTCCATCACGGAGGTTCTGAATGACGACTTTGACGAGATGTTATTTGAGGAGATTGATATATTGTGTGGACAGAGGAGGAAAGCAGAGGATAATGTCATACATCCAAAAGCAGAAAGTCCCTTGAACAGGAATATTTCACCTGAGGAGAACTCAACCACGCTTGTCAAGACTGGATCAAGCACAGACGTATGTAAAAACGTAGGCTCTATCAGATACCCCACAGCTCATAAGGAAGACAAGATTCTGGAATTTCTTGCGGCAATATTTCAGAGCAAAGATGATGGAAAACCAGAACATGGTAAAAGCATTCCTCTTTCTCTTCCGGATGACGCAAATTCTTTGGAAAGTACATCCCTCGCTACAGGTGGCATCTGTCCAAGATTCGAGTCAAGTGGATTACAACCCATACCTTCGAAGGGAGTAGGGAAATCTGGAGGCATGAAAGTGTTGGATCAAGAAGCTGGTGAGATTAACCTCCTTGAAAGCGCTGAGATGTGTGGTGGGATTGACCCTTGCCAGCTGAACCCACCAGATCCACCTGAATCTCTCAATGTAAACGATGCCCCATTAACTCTGTCAAGTGACACGCTCAATATATCAGGAGTGCTTCATGGATGTACTTCTGTTTCTGAAAGTTCAATATTGGCAAGCGAGGCCAGTATATCTGCGGAATCATTGAAAAATCAAAATAGTACAGACCAACGTCACGGTTCAAAATTCTCAGAAAGAGAAACAGCCATGGCAAATTCAGTAAAATCCACAGGTGGACCTGAGTTGCCGGCTGAGAACATCCCTTTTTCTGTAAATACTCCACTGGTAAGGGAGCTTGGCTCATCTCCTGAGGCCCTGGTGAATCAAAGAGTACCAAGTTATCTTCAAAACTTAAATGCGTCCCAGAGAGAAGCAGCTGCTAGCGACACCACGAAGCCACTATTGATTCTGGCTGGTCCGGGGAGTGGGAAGGTGTCTCTGCTCACTCTTATAACTAGCTGCAATTTGTCTGGGATTTGTTATTTTATTCTGAAAGTCATAAGTTATTCAGAATGTCTTCGGTCTACTTTCTGTGCATGTTTGCTTGTTGTCTATTTCAAGTAGCTGACCTTCTGTCTACTTTGTATTTAGACCTCAACTATGGTGGCGCGCTTGATACACTTGCTAGAAGAGGTCAGTATTTAACCATTCTGAGGACTTAGGACTTTTATTGATGCGACATCAGATGCATTGCAGTGAAACATTTGTTTACTGTTGAGGAAGTGGCCAAGGCCAAGTCAGACTAACTGGCCCGATGAATTCAGGGAATAGAGCCGAAGTGTGTTCTGGCCATGACTTTCACCACCGCTGCGGCAAATGAAATGAGGGAAAGGGTTGGAGCAGCCATTGGAAAAATAGCATCCAAGGAGTTGGCAATCAGTACTTTTCACTCTTTCTGCTTGCAGCTATGTCGAACACATGCTGACAAGTGAGTACAGTTGTTTGACAATTTCTATTTGTATTTGTGGAATTTGAGGATACAGAACTGGCGAAAGTCCGTTTTGTGTTGTTTTTCCTGAATTTCCAGTTATCAGCCAAAATGCGTGGGGGTTCAAGAGCCTGAGTCCAAGTTTTCTCCCTGTATCAAGCTTCGAAAACTACAAGCGAGTTCCAATAACTTCAGAACACGCTCTTACAGAGTAGGATGTTTTAATATTCTTTGCAAGCTCATGTATGCTCCCATTGGTGTGGACATCTGCGACAGGTTAGGGCGCACTCCTGAGTTTCTTGTGTATGGTACTGGTCAACAAAGAAAGGCTGTCATCGAGGCCACCAGAATTGCGTTCTCTGAACATAAAGGTGAACAACTACCAGGACTGAATGGTTCGAAGGACTTACCTGATGAAAAGTATGAAAGTACGAATCCGTCACGCTGGCGGGAGCAAGCCAGAAAGTGGCAGCAATTTGTTACGCAGGTAAGCCCTTGTGGTATACTAGCACATGTAGGAAATTACATTAAGAAGAAATTTTAAGGGTAGGCAAAACAGGGTATCGCATGTTGGGATGAATCAGATTGATGGCCTACTATTACCCCTTTACTACAGATGCTCTTAGCTCATGTCTAGTTTTCTTATCTACTTCAGTCCAAAGATGATGACTGGAAGTCATAATTTCCAGCTATTCTCCCCAGTGAATTTGAAATAACTTCCATCCCTCTTTGATGTAAAACTTGAGCCAACTCTGGAGCTAAAACTCACGACTGACATTCTGTCGGTTATGCTCAGGCCAAATGTGCAGGACGGACCTCTACATACTATGAGAAGATCGGCAACATGCTCGGGGTGAGTGCTCTCGAGATACATACATTACTCCGATATGTATACATTAAACTCTTCCTCGCAGGCTCCCGAGTCCTAGTTTTCGACCTTCGCACTAGATCCTCTAACAAGTGTGTTAAAATGAAGCAGGCTTCAGTGCTGAGAAATTACGAGAAGACTCTGACGGCCTGCAATGCTCTTGATTATCACGACTTCATCAGCTGTGCTGCCAGACTTCTTGAAGAGCATCAATCAGGTTAAATATGAGATTTATTATATCTCCTTTAGTCTCTCATAATAGAACAATGACAGAAGTTCCTGTTTCCTCTCGATCCTTCTCTTTTAATTAAGTTAATTAATTTTATAAATCTTGCACGTACTCGGGCTGACTTTTGATTTTTTCTAAGCCATTCGCAGCATGAGATTCAATTTTGCCTCTGGTCTACATACTGGCTGGTAGGAGCTGATTTTGTTATGCTTTAGTCTAACTCAACCCTGCACTTTTGATGACAGTTCTTGAGGAGTGTCAAAGGACATGGTGTTGCATACTTGTAGACGAGTTTCAGGACACAAGCGCAATGCAGTACAACTTCTTGCAGTTACTTGCATCCCACCAAAGAATCACAGTAGTCGGTGATGATGATCAGGTACACCATCTCTTACTAGATTTTGGTTTGAACAAATGATGTTGTTCAGTAGTCCTGGTTTTGATGCTGAGACCATGGTATACCGCTGGGCAAGAGATCAAAGGTCTGGTGAATTGCAAGCACACCGTCTGTACTGCTCATTAACGTTATTTGTCACTTGCCACCATGTTGTCAAATTAATATTCTTACTCTCCCTGTTCTCCACCTGTCGTAAGTACACATCCTTTGCGTCCTTTCTATGGTTGCCTTCATGCGTTGTAGCGGTTCAGACCTACACAGTGCCATGTTTTCATATGCTGGAAATTATGGACCAGCAATTTGCAATGTCTCAACTTGAAATGGATAAACAGAAACTTAATATCAGAGTATCGATGAGATATTAAGGACGATCTTTTTCAGTGCACTAGAATTCTTTTCTGCCCTGCTTGTGCGATGATTAGTATATGATGATCAATGCAAGGTATATTTCAGACAGCACATTCCCAAACCTCAAAGTTGGATCCTTGTGCAGTCTATTTTTGGGTTCAATGGAGCAAATGCAGGAGGTTTTTCATCCTTCAGGAAGGACTTCCCTACCCTTAAGGAGGTACATGACATACACTGTCTAGAGGCTGCTTATCTTTTTCTTTGAAAGATTAGAACAATTAGCCCTGTTCATCAAGCCCATCAGAGAAGTGATTTTCATGTCTTGGATGTTCCTCAAGGTGAGACTGCATCAAAATTACAGGTCAACACGTTGCATTGTGGAGTGTGCTTCTGCTCTCATAAGGAACAACAACAAGCGATGTCAGACCGAACAAGTTGTCACAGATAACAATCTTGGAGACAAAGTATCCAAACTCTTGTTTGGAAAGAGAGCTTCTTGATGACTAGTCTTTTGAATTTTGAAAGTTGTACTCGCTGATCGCTCAATATCCTTGACTCGTTTCGTAGATACAAGTTAGAGAGTGTCGAAACGAGTCTGCACAGTGTGCATTTGTTGCTGATACTCTGCTGATGGCCACCTTGTCTTCGAACTATCTCAGTTGTGGCAGCACTGCTGTTCTCTATCGTCGTCAGGCAAGCATTAACTACTTATATATGAGATAGAAGGCATTTCATTGCCATTTTTTCCCGTAGTGTCCTCAATGAAGCATATCGTTCAATTATTTGTTGCTTTTTCTTTTTGGTTTGATATTTCAGGTGTGAAACCATTTGCTCAAGCTAAACCATTCTAGGATGCTATCTGTTGCCACGTCAGGCCATCGCGTCGTTTCAAGTTCTTATCAAGTGTAAATCGAACCTGAGGTCTTTTATTGTATTCTGAAACAGGCGACTGGAAAATTATTCCAGTCCACATTTCGCTCTCGAAAAATTCCTTTTAATGTACACGGGGTTGCCTTCTATCGAAAAAAAGTAAGTTGCAGATTGTTTTGTAAATGCAGAACCTGGGTGCAGTCGTTCAGTGATCAATTTGTCACCGTAACGAAAATCTTAAGCTTCCATAGTTTCATGATATTTTCAAAGGCAAATTCAGATACTTCTCCATTGATATTTTCAGTTCGGCTAATACCTACACAGGTTATCAAGACCATCACAGCTTTGTTCTGGACAGTCTTACCGGGGCGGAAGGATATTTTTTCGCGAAGAGTTTTTAAGGCCATGTATGGAGGAGAGAAATCTGAATCGAAGAAGGTAAGATCAATTTCCCTCTTGATCAAGGTTCAAAATGAAATGAATGTAGTGAGCTAGGTTTAGAAGTTTCCTTACATTAGCGGTTAGTTATCGCATGAGCAAGCTTCAACTTATCAGGTACAACTTGAAGAAAACTCATCATTTAATCTTGTGATGACATAAAGGCTGTGGAATACGTCGAGAAAATTTCAAGAAGCAAAAATTGTGATTTTCTGCAAGCTGCCTCGGAAATCTTCACGGCAAAAGTTTCAGGCACTTTTACAAGGTACGTCATATAATATCCTGTGCCTTTCCCGTTCCAACTGCTTCTCATGTTGGTTTCAAGATTTAGCATGTACTTCTTCCCTACGTGACGAGATGCAGCTTTTATCGCCGTGGAAACTTATTAAAGATTTGTTCGTTGTTCCAAAGAGAGTTAGTTCAAGTGTCGTCAAATGGATCCTAGTTTTGAAATCTAAGAAACTAGAGTAGCATGCCTCATACTTCTTCATAAATGTCGAAATTAAAGAAGATTCTAAATGAAAATTGGGTATTTGAGCTTATAATTTCATTCGTTTGCCAAATGGCTTTATATGGTTTTGCAATCTTGTTTTTGTTCTGAGACATTTGTTTGATTGGACGACTGACTTGAATCAATCATCAGGCGCCAACTGGCCATGGGAAGGAAAGTGCTTAGCTCGATAAACACAGTCAAACATCTCGTGTCTAAGGTAAGATACTCCCTTGTCCATTTAGACGGATTTGGATATCTGTTGTACTATCCCTAAAGCTATTCAGAAATAGTCTGATCTTTCAAGAGCATTGCTTGGTTTAGAACATAGTTTGTATTTTGGTGTGTTTCAAGTACTACCTCGTCTTTCCATAAGGCCTCTAACCTTGACGGCTTTAGGCACAAGTAACGACTTCTATATTTCTCGGGTTTTCGTAATAACTCATAATTCACTGATTCTGCTTGATTTTGAATTCAGGAGCAATCTCTGTCAGCCGTGATTACTGCAGTTGCGAACCTGCTTCCTCAGGTAAAGAGTAGCATTGACTTTGTTGCAAAATCATATGCATTATGGCCTGCACTAGCATATATGAAGTGCATTTTAAACAAACAAGTGCCCTCTTGTCAGATTTAGAGGAAAAGCCTACGGGACTACAAAAAGTCCGACAATACCGGATCCACATAAACCAATGTTTGTTTCAGACTGACATTGTGCTCTTCACAATATCTGTTCACTTATATTACATAACGGTGCCGTTTATTTGACTTTGCATAGCTTAATCATGTGTATATATTAAACAGAGGCCTATCTTCGATACCCGCGCTGTAGTAACTGAAGATGGACGAAGACTGCTGAATGAAGACGAAGACTCACGGACAGTAAGCACAGTACAATTTTTAAAATACGATTTACGAAGTCTCGAGTGAAGCTTCTCTTGACGTTGACGCACTTATGAATGTGAAGTATTGCAGAGAATCAAATTGCTATATCTAAAACCAAATGCGGGTGTGGTAGGTTTTGGAGTACTTGCTTGATGATGTGAACGAGTTCCTTGGAAAGCATTACAACTCATGCCCTCCTAAAGGGGTAGAGCTGGAAATTGGTGGATGTTCATCCGCATTGAGGGCTTTTTTGGGTTACATGACAGCAAGAGAGGAAGAAAACTTCCGAAATCGTAAGGAGGAAAACAACAACTCTGTGACTCTAACCACAATGCATCAGGTATGGAGTTGAAATTTCTACTATGCAGGTTTGAGCACTCCAGTTCAGTTAGAAAAAATATTAGATTTTACATGGGGAACATGTGGATTAGGGGAGTTCAGGATGAGGAGCTCTATACTTCACCAGGAGCTTTGTCTGGAAGGCTGCGTTCTGAAATTATGAGATGATTACTGACTTGTGAGGATCGTTGAATGCAGTCCAAAGGCTTGGAGTGGGATACAGTTTTCATAGTGAAGGTACATAAGAGATTGAGGCTCGGTTAGTAATATAGACGACACGCAACCCTTCTTCTGATATTACAGAGTTATTACCTTCAATATTGTGGGCAAAGCTTAATCTAATTTATTAGCCTCAGACCAAGTGATGGCCAAACTTTTGCATGTGCTGCTGCTTCCGGTTTTTCCTCGGTTTTCCTCTGGTTTCACCCTTTTTGTTTTGGATTCAAGTGGCAACTGAACTTCGAACTTTCTTATTTTGGGAACAAGGCCAATGATACAGAAACTCCGTTGCTTCATGAGGGATCGGGCTGCGTAAACGAGGACTCTGGTTCTCTAGAGGTATCCTTCGACTATCAATCTCACAAGAGTTAACATAGCATGAAAAAGTTATTTTCTGCTAATTGTATTTGACGACTTTGTAGACTATGCTCTCTGATATATTGTGTTATTTTACAGGAAGAAAGGCGGCTGTTTTATGTTGCGATGACACGAGCGAAAAAGAAGCTCTATATCAGCTATATTGTTGTTGATTCTGATCGGCAGGTCAGTATAAACAGGTCAACGTAGTTCAATGAATTTTCATAAAACAGTACAAATGAACTGATCCTTTATGAACCCGGACTGTCCACGATGAGTACATCATATATCGAGCTGACCTCTTGGCCTTCTCTTCTTTTTCAGATACTTAAACCAACTCGATTCTTGGCGGAACTCCCTCGCGCCCTTTTAGAATTTCAGGTTCTAGCTTGTTCGATCACTCGAGGTTAATTAAAATTTAATGATAATACGATGGCTTCATTTAGTTATGGCTTGTAACTCGCTTCATAAATTAAAGTCTTAGATGGAGTGGAGGTAATCTCTATCTAAAGTAGAGAATGTCAGCAGGATGGCGCCAGTCAGATCAGACCGGAGATTACGACACCAATAAAGGAGCAACCAGCCAAAATCGAGCACCTTAGCACAGACAGTTTGTCGAATGCTCAAGTGGACGAATTGAGCAAAGTCTCTGGAGAGGAAGTCCAGAACAACAAAGATGGTCCAGTTGTAGAACACGATAAAATCGACAATGATGTGGCTCGTAAAGATGGAAGTGCTAGTAATGCGCCAGCCGTGCAAAGCTGCCTTAGAACGAATGCTTTTCTGAAAGGGTAAGAGAAATTTAGCATCAGTGGTTAGTCACTCACAGACACACATATTTAACAAAGTTGTTTTCTCAGTATCTGACCTGACTCCTCTTATCTGAGTTTTCTCTACTTTGACTTCCCGTGAGTTCAGAATGAGTACTCTAATTGTTTGTGAGTACGAAACAATCGAGCTGCTATTGCAGATTCAGCATCGAAGCGAGGTCTGTGGTAGCCGGGTTATTCCATACATGGGCAAAAAAACCCTCTTTTCAAGACCCAAAACGTCTTCTTAGCAAGGTGAGAAGTAAAAGATATCATAAATTACTGTGTACTTTCTGACCAGCTCAGTGATTTTATGTGAACTTCCTGTCTAAGTTTATCTTTCACTATGGTCTAAACCATGTGGCATGCCATGTAACAAGCTTCAATGCTGCTTAAGTCTGTAGACTTCACCCATGAAAGTATATCTAGCACTTGATCTCAGGCAGCTCATAGTTTAAGATATCAGCATTAGGGTAAAGATTACATTCACAGTAGTGTGCACGATCCGTCTAAGAAAAACCTTGTATTCCACTAAGAATCCCCATTCATGGGGGTGTAAGATAATTTGGATAAAATAATTTGTCACGATGGTAGGTCCCGGTATATTTATAGAAATTGACCGAAAGTTTCTCCATTTTTATTCTTTCTTATGTAGGTTGGATTTGTTATCGACGAACGTCTTCGAAGCAAAGGAACAAGGAACAAAGTAAGTCAACACTTGTATTTATGTTATAGACTGACGAGATTACTCAGTCTTAGATGCATCTTTCGGACGAGAATTATAGTCATTTTTTCAGTCTCTCTTCTCACTCCACATAGACACGAGCGCGCTGTTAAAGCAGACAAAAGTTTTCACATACTTGGATGGTCTACAATTTGCAGTTCACATACCAATAGTCTGCTCTCTATTATATCCACTGTAAGAGTAGGACACATCTTGAAGGACATGGAGTTGACTTTCAAAAACCAAACATTGATTTGAAGTTCAACATTTGACGAACCAGAGTAGTTTCTCGGTTGCATTGAGTAGATTTCAGAAAGAGCCTGGTTTGGAACTTCTCAAATCATGCCATAGAACAGTTGGTATAAAGTCTACTTGAGCATGAAAGGCGTGTATAGAAGTTTTTATACTCAACTTTTGCTAACATGGTTGGAAAGATCCTTCTGCCCCTCACTTTCATCTTTTGTTTGTTGAACAGGAAGTGCTCATCAACTTGAAACTCGCACTAAGAGACGAAACTGCTCTATCCTATGCCCAAAATGTAATTTTAAGACCAATTCTGCAATCCTCTATTTCCTCACTTATTTGGAGTCCCAAGAAGTTTTCTATACAGAGCATTTTGATCAGGGTTCAAAGATCTCAACTTTTCCTAAGAAGCTCTCAACCTTACTAATTGTGACCTTACGTCCTACATTCGAACAGGTGCTCGCTTGGGAGAAGCTTCCGGCCGAGGAGAGAGCAGTCCTTCAGGCCGAGCGACAGGTATTTGTAGACCTTTGCTATGACAAGAAGCCGTGGAGTTGTTGGGAACATATATATTAACATTAAGATTCTGATCCTGTTCAGGAGCACTTTCAGATCCAGAATAGTGAGCGCGCGCAAGCTGCCGCCTGTGCTACACCTAAACAGGTGTGTTTGTCATAATCTGATGATAACTGACGAGCCTGATTCCACATTCTTCCATCGGTACTTTGATTCGTTCTCAGCTTCATGTCCATAGAAGGTTTGTCTTTTCCAGGAAATTTTGAATAACGATTTGATACGTAATTGTTGTCGTGGTAAGCGATACAAGGAGCCGGTGTTTCCCTTGCCTTGTACAACCACAAGAAATACGGTCGAGTTGTCCAGGACTGTCAATGTATAATTCATCCGTGTATATACCTTAAATCTACACAAACTCCAGGATTCAGTAAGCTAAGTGACCATATTTTTGAACCTCTAACTGCTTCTCTTCGATCTGATCCTTTTCTCATATGTTGTGCAGATATCGTATTTGCGAAGCCTCGGCTGTACGGTTGATCCGACTTCTCGCCTTCATGCATCGCGTCTGATCGAGCAATACAGAAAACTTTGAAGGACGCCTCTGTGTAGCTCCTCGTGATCACTCTTACATTCGTGTGTCATCCATTCATGACTCTGTATTCATTGTCTTAGTCGGGGAAATTCTTGGTAACTGATTTTAAAAGCACTTCATTCCTGAAGTCTTTTGTCACTATACACAAGCTTCGAGAAGGCCACTCTGATTGCATGTTTTCAGATTCTTTACGTATGTAATATAGAAAGCAATTATCTAGTGTCCAGACTAACATACCCCTTCACCCTCATCAGAAGACGAACTGTTAGCTATATTTCATTTAGAAGCAGTGACCATACTTACCTATCGAAGTGAAGTCACTTCATACTGAGACGTTTGTTGACCATCCTCAGAAAACCCGTCGAAAGTTTTAAAACTGAGCGTATTTCCAGCTCGTAAGTTGTGAGGACGTCTGATTGAAAGATAACAATCTTTTAGCTACAACTTTCCAAATATGGCTCCCTCAGATCGATTTCAGTTGGTTTACATGTCGAAGATAAAGCTGATTCCTAACAGGAGCTGACGAAAGTGGACGTGCGTTAGTCAGCACACAATATGGTAAGAGTATCTCTCAAACAAACGTTACGTCCAGACAAGGCTTTTACCACAGAAGATATCAGAAGGTTCTTCGTTTCTGTCTGACGTCATACATTTCTGAAGAGACATCTCCACATGTATCTGTTTATTTGTGCCTTTCTTGAACAATCAATCATTGTTCCTGAAAGATAATGTACTGGCATGTACAGTTTAAATAAACTTTCAATTGTAATTCTGGAGAGCCCTTCTCTCATGATTCGGGATCTCGTCTGTCGACAAAGTGTGCATTGCGGGGAGATTCGTCGTAAAATTTTTGAAAGGGATTTTCTCTCGAAAAAAACGTCGAGTTGTAGAATGCAGATGTGGCAGTTGGACTTTCCAACTGAACTCCCTGACAAAGCTACGTGTCAAGTTCATCCACATACGATGCCAACAGCAGACACGTCGAAGGCGCTCGTTCAAACTTCGAGGAGGTGGACAGGGAAGGCAAGGCAAGGCAAGACAAGGCTTCTAGTTTCCTGATTCTCCTTTCAGGCGAAAGCCAGCAACGTGTTCTGAGTGGTAACGGTTGTGAATCCCCCCCAAGGAATCTAAAAAAAAAATCCAGAAAACCATAAAATACGTTCAAAGGACGCTCGGGGATTATTTGGTCAGGAAGAATTGGTGGAAAGAGGCGTGTGATTTTAGGGAAGGTGGTCGGGTACTGCAACCAATAACCCGGTGGCATCTGCCCGAACTGCGTAGGGCTTGCAGTTTTCGGCGAGGTGCATATGGATACAATATTGCAGATTCACCAGATTCCTTCATGCAGCATGTAGCGCGGATCCGACCTGGCGAGCACTAGACTACCGAATCACCGTCCTACGAAACGGAAAGACCCAGTCTCCCTTCCGTCAGCCTCCGTCACTCGCGCAACGCCTCCATCCATCCACCGCGCCGGGAGAAAGGCTCACGAGAGGAAACAAGAGAGCAGTCCCTCCTTCCCGATTGCTCCGGTGAAGCACTTGTGGGCCCTACCCTCGACCCCACCCCGGACCCCAACCTCGTCGATCTCAGCACTTGCTGTCCCGAGAAAGCGTGGGGATTTCGAGGTGGGCCGAAAGGATTGCATCTGCATCTGCATCTACACGTGGAGATGCAAATTTTACTGGAGAATCTGCGGGATCCAGGCCTTCAGGTGTTGCGGTTGCAGATTCCTCAGGCTCCCGCGCCAGGTAGGACCGAGGGGTGGATCGGAAGTCCGTGCCAGTCCGTGCCTCGTCAGCTGACCGCACTCGCTCCAGTCCAAGGGTCAAACTCGAGTTTTCTTATGGAGGAAAGCCAGAAAGCTCACCGTCGGACGGAAGCTCGGACGGACGGACGGCGGACGGGGGATGGGAAATGGGTGATGATGGAAAAAGTGGTTTCTGTTGATGAATTGTTTGGTCGACTGTTGGCAGGAGATGCAGCGGAAAGAAACGTTGGCAGTTGAATCTTCGTCACACGTGGAGATGCAGCTGAGCTCCCGAGGAGGAGCATGGATCTGGATGAATCTCGTCGGAGGCGGAGCTGCTCGCTCGCTCGCTTTCTTGCTTGTTTGCTTGCCAGGGGAGCACGGACCCGGAATAGGAATCAGTTGGTCTACTGGTTCGCAAATCTGGCGCAAGGAGCCAAAACTCGCGCAGACGCTCTCGAATTGGCCCTAGGCCGTCCGAGAAGGCCCGCTCGCCCGCCCGGCAGCAGCAGCAAGTAGATCCCTGCCATAGGCGCACTCTCTGCGTGCATCGCCTGGCACTTTGTCGTGTCTCGAGCTTTCTGCGGCCACTTGCATTTAAGTAGGTCCGCTCGCGACTATCGACCTCTTCATTTTTCCCCCCTCCCTCTAAAATTTGCGGACTTTCGAGGGGCGTCATCTCGATCGCATCATCGAAGTCCCTCCCGCCCGCCCTCCCTCCCTCCCTCCCTCCCGCGAGCGACTCGGTGGGTAGGATCGAGCTTTTTATGCTTCAGATTCCGACTTTTTGCCAGTTCTTGGAGATTCCTTGTGTGTGTAAGTGCTGCTCGGCAAAGCGTTGCAGGGTTTGGCCGCCATGGTGACTAGCGTGGAGTTCTCGCCCAGCATTGTCTCTTCCGGTGCCTCCTCCAAGCTTCCGGTGAAGGCTGTCGCCTCGAGCTTGTTGGACAGCGCCCCCGTCGCCAGCTTGCCGGAGGACATTCCTCTCGACGCCTTGAAAGTGATCTGCCCATCGGATTTGGGGAAAGAAATCTCGTCGTCCTCCGAGGATGAGGCCGATGTCGTCACGAAAGCCAACGGTGCTGCTTCTAAAGTCGACTCCGATACTCTGGTTCTCGGAAAGAATTTCCATGATTTCTGTTTGACGATCACGGAACCCGAGTTTGACGATGATGTCACCGGTGAGAAGGACGCCTACATGGCCGGAGTCTTGGCCCGCTACAGAAAAACACTTGTCGAAAGAACCAAGTATCACCTGGGTATGCTTTCAAACCTAGACTTCTTGCTTCTACCATCGCCTACGGTTCGATCCAATTGTGGTTGAGTGAAGTTTCCAAAGTGAGTTTGTTGACGTTTGGTCGTGTCTTCTCGCGTACAGTGTGACGTCATTCTTGAGTTGTTGGTTCTTTTCGTCCGTCTTTTCTTTGCGACAGATCTCTCCATGGATTATTATCGACCCAAAGAGCAACAGGGACGATGGATGTGATATTTGCAAATGTTTGTGATTGCTTGTGTCGGATGATAGTCGTAATCTGCGTGCAAGGTGTTCGCCGATCGCGAAGTTGACATCGAGACTTCATCTTCGTGTTTGTCGCGTAAGAGACTGTTTGGTCGCTCGTACAGCGCCACATTGTCAATGTCTCGTCGCACATGAAGTGCGGAGGCTCCTTGACGACGTGGACTCTGCCAGCGGGAACTTCTATTTCTCGCGGCAGTTTCTTTCTTCTCACGTCAGCTACGGCATGTGTTATTAAGTATGTCGAAAATTCTTTCGATGCTTTTGATTTTTGAGGTCGAGGCACTTCGTTGCAGGCCGTGGCATTTCAACATTCGTCGATCTGCGACGTCGTGTTTCTGTCCGTCATTGTTTCGTCTGTTTGACTTCGAAACCCATGCTATATTTTTGTTGACATTGTATCTCTGTCGATTATTTTGGGTCTTTGTGACCGAAGAAGGCTATGCAGGACCCAGTGTTGATTTGCCAGTTCAAGTTCTTGACATTGACAGGATCCTGTATGGATCTTCAAAGTGAATGTTCGATGTATTCAGTCAGGTGAAAGTTCGTTCCTGCAGTCAAATTGTCTAACATGTGACGTTACTTATGACCAGGTTACCCTTACAATTTGGACTTCGACTACGGAGCTCTGTCTCAATTACAGCACTTCTCCATCAACAATTTGGGTGACCCGTTCATAGAGAGCAACTATGGTGTACATTCCAGACAATTCGAGGTCGGAGTTCTTGATTGGTTTGCCCGCCTTTGGGATCTCGAGAAGGATGAGTACTGGGGTTACATCACAAATTGCGGTACAGAAGGGAACCTTCACGGCATTCTGGTCGGGTGCGTTACGGCTGACTGAAGTTTAATGTTTCTTGCCCTTCATCGTAGTCCGGAAAGTGTTGGTTTCTTAATTTCAAGTTTCAAGTGCTCAGCCTTTTCCTGGGACAGAGAATCACTTATTAGACGTGGTTTCAAATCTGGGCTGAGCGTGGTGTGTTATCTGAAGACCGCTTATGCACGAGTGTTATCTGACGAGATGTTTTTGTTTACAGGAGGGAGGTTTTCCCCGATGGAGTGCTTTACGCTTCAAAAGACTCTCACTACTCGGTGTTCAAAGCAGCACGCATGTATAGAATGGATGTAGTGAAAGTCGAGACTTTGCTATCAGGAGAGATTGACTGCGTTGACTTGAAGCACAAGCTGAGCGAGAATGCTGACAGGCCTGCAATTCTCAATGTGAACATTGGTATATCTCGCACCAAACCCTTTTTTCTGCCTTTGTTGACTAGTCAAATTCGTTCTTCAGCGGCTCCTGTCCAGTGGAAATGTGCAAACTTCGTTCAGTCACCATGAGAGTGGTACGTGAGTATCTTCTTTCTTATGTTTGTCCGATTTTTTTTGCATAAACATGTGACTGGCACCTAACGTCGACAACGCAACAGGTACCACTGTGAAAGGAGCCGTCGATGATTTGGACCTTGTACTCAAGACTCTCGGCGAGGCTGGTTTCGCTGAAGATCGGTTCTACATCCATTGTGACGGTGCTTTATTCGGTCTCATGATGCCTTTCGTGAAGAAGGTACGAACTTCTGCCCCGTACAAATGATATGTAATTCATATGTACATAGCTGGATGCTAAAAAGCTACATCTCAAGATTCGTCAAAGTCAAGTGGTTTCATAAACGATCTGAATCGTGTGGGATTTTTTAGCATCCATCTGCCTACATTCTTACAACTATGGTCATGTCTTGTGATCTGTATTATGAACTTGCAGGCCCCAAAGGTTTCGTTCAAGAAGGCCATTGGCAGTGTCAGTGTATCAGGACACAAGTTTGTGGGATGTCCGATGCCGTGTGGAGTACAAATTACACGGATGGAGCACATCAACGTGCTATCGAAGAACGTCGAGTACTTGGCTTCTAGAGATGCCACCATTATGGGGAGTCGAAACGGACACGCTCCCATCTTTCTATGGTATACACTCAATAGGAAAGGTTACCGTGGTTTCCAAAAGGAAACTCAACGGTGCTTAAGGAATGCTCACTACCTGAAGGAATGCCTCAGAGCTGCGGGCTTCGGTGTTATGCTTAACGAGCTCAGCAGCACGGTCGTTTTTGAACGTCCTCACGAGGAAGCATTCGTTCTGAAGTGGCAACTCGCCTGTCAAGGCAAGATAGCACACGCTGTGGTGATGCCGAGCGTGACAGTTGACAAATTAGACAAATTCGTGGCAGAATTGATCGAGAGTCGACAAAAATGCTTCCCTGACGGTAACGTTGTGGTTCCCTGCATTGTCGAGGAAGTCGGTCCCGAGAACTGTGCCTGCAATGAGCACAAGAATGTTCAAGCGTCTGCTGAAGCACAGATGTTTCAGTACTGAAGGGAAGAAACTGGTTTGTGTTAAGATTATTAGCTAGTTCCCATTTGTAATCTTCATAGAATTCGTCCCTCTTGGACTCAAGCAGACATTGCATGTCTCCTTGGTCCTCTCTGTAAATATGAGGTTTGATCCAGGGACAGCGTTTAGACTGGAGGTTCGGTTTTCCCCCTATCTCACCACTCAACTGAGTGAGTATCTTCCAGTCGAGTAGTGATATCGGGCGGTCGGAACTTTCGCATAGATTCGTTGGAAGATTGTTAGAACTTAGTGGTTGTCATCATTTTTTGTATCACTACTACTCTTGGAGTGGAATATAGACTGTAAACCTATACCGGTCCCGAGTACGATGGTTGGACTCATGTAATGAGAGCGAAGGGTCCATTTCGTTCTGTGGCATACTCTCTAACTCTTTACAATTTTAAAGATTATTGTAAGAGCCCAACCATACAGTAGAGAGAGTCAGCTCAAACTTGTACTTATAGTCAGCTGATTCAAATGTGCGAGTAAGCAGCGATACTATCGTAAAATGACAACGCACAAATTCAACATGTACAAACCGGTACCTTTCACGCTTCACTGCGCAAATGGTTGTTGTGAGCATTGCATGTTCAGAGGAGAATTGACAGTGGACAGAGTGTAAACGTTGACACCATTAAGTAAAATGCGAAGAGCAAGATACGAAAATCTCCTCAAGAACGTCTGAGAAAATTGTATATGACCAAATATCTCTTCAACAACGTGGATCAAAATTGATGTATACAGCACATTATGTGAGTGCAGAAACGATATATGAGCAGCTACAAATAATGTGTATATCCTTCAAATCCAACGTCCAACCGCACATGCCAACAACTTCTAGAGCCGTATGCGTGAAAGTACAAGATACCAAAAGTCATGTCCACATGTCGAAACCTAAATTCATAACTAGGCCCTGTCGTAGCAAGTCTCTCTCTCGAGATGTGAACAAAGTTGAATCCCTCATTCTCATGCATGTTCAGTAGTACCTATAAATTTGATATAGGAAAGTACTTTCGGCTAAAGGTAATGCTCGTACTCATCGTCCTGCGCGTTTTGAGGAGTTGCTAGTTTTCGTTATTCGTGTAGCCCTGACGTCTCAACCCGTGCATGAAGATATTTGAGTACTTCTATAGTCAACCCTAAATCAAGCTGAATATCAAAAAGCTGGGAAGACCTATAAAGCCTGAAAAGAGATAAATGTACCTTGTCGTATTTACATTGTTATAATACAACCGAGTCTTTACAACATGCAAATTATAGATATCATGTGAGTTATAAACAACAAAGATAGGAGAACATGATAATGTGATAGTATATCTCCTGTGACATATCATAAGTGTGTGTATGTGAAACGAGTCTATCATCGATAAGGGAGATAACCCTTTCGTTATCGTTAACCTTACGTGAATCATCATTTAGACGAGAGTTGCTTGTCAGAGCAGAGAGGTTTCAGGAACTCAGAAAAGAACATCTGCAACAGCCATTGCGCAGAAATCTTTGTACCAACTTCAGGTTGATTTTACCTTTCGTTACTATGACTACAATAAACTTGGCACCTTCATCCTAAGCCTCTCTACTGATCTCAGGTTTATCTTTTAATTTCACTGGATAGCATATGGCGCTCCATTAAAAAGCTCCTGTCGAAATTTTGATCGCTTGGGTAGTTGTGTGTACTTTCTGCGTTGTAGAGATTGGTGTTACACTTGAATCATATATATCAAAAGTATAATGGTTATGTAAGTTAATTAAGGATTGTTGGATGTCGAAACTAGTTATCATTACTAGTACCATGCCGACCATTCCATACATTCAGCAGGGCATTTAAGTTCTCATAAAAAAGAGTCAAGTGTAACTGTGGTACTCTTGGGAAAGAACAAGAAATTACACTATTCTCACAAAATATTTCGTTTTAAAATGTAAAATAGGAGGCCTACTACTCAAGAGCTAACACATGAATCGACCGTCCTTGTACATACGAAGCACTCTCGAAAGTTCCAGATCCCTACTAGAATGCCACTTCTATAACCTAGTAATTAAGGTTGAAGAAGTTTCTCAAGAAATTTGCCCGACCGTACTAAATCCCACATCATCTTGAATGCAACTATCCTTAGACTATTTTACAAATGAGAGTGAATTTTCTAGAAATTTAACTACTCCCTGATGAGTATTTTCCAAATTATTATTTTTTTGTAATATAAAAGATTATAATCCTTACAACTAGATGATCTTTAACTAATATGATTGATTTTTGACACAATTTAAACTATGTAAAAACTTATCAAATGAATAATAATTATCAAATATATTACAATATTTATTAACTATAAAAAAACATTTATTTATTTGTCAAAAAATTCTACATTGTATAATTTTTCAAAGAAAAATCTTTTTGGATAAACTTTCCAAATATTTTTATGTACAATTTCAAATATTTTTTGAAAATGATAATTTTTAATAAAAAAAAATTACAATGATTGTTTAAAACACAATGATTCTAAAATTATACATTGATGTCATCTACAAAAATTATCAACAAAAATTAGCAAGTATCTTTTATAAATATGATCTAGTCTGGAATGTTATACATGAAACATTCAGGTTTAATATCTAAAAAAAATCACAGATCATTTTATCTTATAACATGTATAGATTTGTCTGTTTAATTTGTTTCAACATACCTTATCAACTATCATTAATTTAAGCAAGTATTGCTAAAATTATAGTTTTAATCAAATATGAGTTTAATATGGATCTATCTACATAATATTCAATTATAAATTTTAATTTTTACAAGTTTGATCGATCTCCATCAAAACTATATTTTTCTCTCTTGAGAAGTTTAAACTTTTAATTGTAATAAAGATGATGAACAAGCATTATTTAAAATCCATACATCATCAATATTTGTTAATAAATTGCATAATACAAACATAAAATTTCATAACTCATAATCAAGCAAATCATTTTTCTTAGCATCAAACTTTTTAATCACATTGGCAAGATGTATATCATTAATTTTGATCTATTTTAACATTAGGATTTAGCGAAAAGATCATTCAAAGATGGAAACATAAACTCTAAATATGAAAGATAGCAACAATGATTCTACTCTCACTTATATAGCTCTCATCAATAAGTACTAGGAAATAAGATCTTATACCCACCATCCATCTCACTCCTAATGGATAGATTACGTGGTGCATAACTTTAACAAACACAAGTATTGCTTACGTGACGCTCCCAACTGCATAATACAAACATACAGTTTCATAACTCATAGTCAAGCAAATCATTTTTCTTAGCATCAAATGTTTTAATCACATTGGCAAGATGAATATCATTAATTTTGATCTACTGTAACACTAAAGTTTAGCAAGAAGTTCATTTGAAGATGAAAACATAAACTCTGAAGATGAAAGATACCAACAATGATTTTCTCTCCATTATATAGCTTTCATCAATAAGTAATAGGAGATAAGATCTTATTCCCACCATTCATCTCATTCCTAATGAATAGATGACGTGGCGTATAACAGTAACAAGCACACGAATTGGTGACATGGCTCTCTCAACTAACACATTTAATCCTTACCTAACAAACATACAGATCTCTGTCGTGGCGCTATCAACTAACACATTTAATCCTTACCTAACAAACACACAGATCTCTGTCGTGGCGCTATCAACTAACACACTTACTCTCTATTCACCAAGTGCGTGGATCGCTGACGTGACAGCTATGACTAGTATACGCTAAAGTATCTATATCAATATTTAGAGTAATTTTTATTTACTAACTAAAGGTGGTTACATCTACAAAGAACTTCTTTAAATGTCTAATCTTGTCACATTTTCATCAAACTGCTATGTTCTTATCTAAAAATTTAGTCTAAACTTGAATCTGTCATTAGTACAAAAACTATTATCATCCTTGTTCTTTCTATTGATTGTTATGGAATGAAATAGATGAAACAAATATCATTAATATTTTTTGCTATAAATCATTGTTCAACAAACATTCATAATTTTACTGTAAATATATATCTACCTATTACAATGAAGCCACACATCTAATTTATAAGACATAGGTAATAAACTTAAGACTTGATGTTACTTTCATGACAACTATTCACTAAGATTTTGAAGTTTAATGATCAATTACATTATCAATCTTATCTTGAATCTTTGTTTTTACTTCTTTGATCTTCAAAACTCTTTACTTCTATACCTCAAATTAACCTTATGAGTTTTAAGTATCAGTCACTAGGATTGAGTATGCTAGTTGAAGATTTAACTACACAAATTATGCAACCTTTCAAGAAAAGATGTGAGAATATGATGCAAAAGATGAGTTTTTTTAACGTGAGAGCGAGAAAAATCAAGGATTTCAGTCGTATTTTAGATGGACAATCACTTAAGCGGTGGAGTACAATCATTGTTGTGAAAGATCAGCAGAATTGAATTAAATAATCTTGCCAAAAAAACACTTCCATAATATTGCAACCAATTAGAAGATTTTTAAGCTTTCACAATTAGCTAACATTTTTTTTGCTTTTGCAATATGCAACAAATTTTGTCATCTTTCACATTCGACAATAAATACTTTAGGTTGTAATACGTAGTCACATTTCTCTGATTCCGCAAGACATGATGGGGATTTTCATAGATATTGTTTGCAACAATATGAAAAAAAATTTATGATAGATAATTCATACTAATATTTTGGAATCAACTTTATATTAAAGCACTCGGACCCATACGCGTTGTCTATGCAACACAACAATGGTTGTACGAGTGAAAGAATCACATGATATTTATGGAATTACAAGTAGCTTTGAAAGCAAGTATATGAAATAGCCCAAAGAGTAAATTGTATAATGATTTTGTACATGAAGTAGAACCAATGATTTGTTGATGTTTGAAAGTTAGTGTTCTTTGATATTATTTTATAATAAAATAAATAAGAATTATAAGGAAAATTGCATCATTTGAATTTATTTCACAGGACTATCATATCAAGGTTGAAAAATGAGTCAAGTCATATAATGAGTTGAGAAAGTATTCACAGTATTATTGACATGACAAGGGTTACATGCCTCGATGACTTGATGTGATCTGCATGCATACGCATATTTAGTAAGATAGCTCTTTGGAGGGATGTGATATTTCCCTCGATTTTATTTTTATAATTTAAAAAAAATAAAATTTCCTAACTCAGACAATCATTCATACGCACAATACACAACATTACATGAAATATTTACTTTTCATTACTCAAATTGAAATAAAATAGTTATGCGCTTACTCTTATGATGATGGGAATAAACAACAACAAAAAGCATAAACGGACGAGTAGTTTCAGAAGTAAAACTGGGTGAAAGCATCAAATGGTCGCAATTCAATGAAGGATAGCTTTGGGAGTTACCTTGCGTTGGTGTGGAAGACTCTGTACAACAGATGCAGACACCGACATTGACTACGTCTTATAAAATATGTGGCTAATTTTAGAATACGTTTCGGTTAGATAACCGTTGCCAGTCCAATTGAAGATTGTCATGTGCCGTACTTACAAATACAAGTCCTCGTCCAACTCGTGTCGAAGGATTCACCAATGGAGTCAAGTCCAATGTATGAACATTGGACTTGAGAAGACGTCGATAGGTTGCAAGTTTATATTGCCCTTGATCATTGGGCCGAATTTTATTACTAATTCCTTGCATCTGCAGTTTCCGTCATGATCATTACCGCAGCTGCTCTCAAAATTACTTGGTACGGATCTTTCCTGTAAATTAGTCAGGAGGTGGCGAGAGGCTAGCGGGCGGCCTGGGCTAATTTCGTGAAATAATTCTTGAAGCTGGGTTGTGGTCCCATTCCTTCTTTGAAGCAACCCCATCTTACATACTGCAACCGGAAAACAAGGGATTTTGACTCAACATATGCAGATCATTCTGCTACGCAATTTTTATCAAGGAAAAGGTTGTGTATTTGGATGGATTTGGAGTGTATCATGTAGGTCTCTTCCATGTACTGCAATTGTCACAAGGGAATTTTACGAGGCTGCTTCAGTGAGTTGTCTGCTTCTTTTTGCTTTAGCTATAATTGATTTCTCCAGATCTACAATTAAAAAAACTCAATATACCAGTATTGTCTTTGGCATGAGGACTTTCTCAAGGCAATTATTCTACGCAGCCACTAATAAAAAGAAACTGTATCTGTGGGATCTAGTTTCCACGAGACTGATGACGCTGATATGATTATTAAAATGTAATATAAATGTCCAGCTTTATGCTTTTCGCAGAGAGAACTTCGCAGAGAGAACTTTGCACAGACTCGAATGAAAGAAGTAGATATATATCTACCGATTTCTATGTGAACAAAGATATTATCTTTTTATATTATTTGACAAGCACGATACCCCTCCACACTCTACCCGAGAAACAACTCGATGATTCCTAAAATCCTCCCAACTCGACCTTTCTCAGCAGGTTAGAGGAGTGGAAGCGGTGAGACTTCTACTCGAGACGAGAGCTGGAATTGATGTGAAGCTAGACTTGACAGCTCATGATTGTGTAACAGAAATCATACAAGGACGGACCCTGCAATATGGCCTGCAACCCGGCCCCTACTTGATGAATTACATGTGGCATTGACTAACTACCGTGTCCTGCCTAATCAGGCGAGCATGCAGTGTCATGAAAACAGAAATTATCATCACACAGTGTAGGAGACTCAATCGTGACACCCTTCAGTCAATGCATGAAGGCACAGAAAGCGTCCGTAGAGGGATATTATCACATGCCTCACTTCTTTATTCATATGTTATGTACATAATTCTGGTCAAATTTGGACAAAGATGATATCACTATTCATACATGTATAATAGCAAAGATCTCCAAGCATGTTGTCCCTCATCTTAGTTCTGAATGTTTATCCCCAATCAAAACGCATTCGAGCAAAGCTTCTAGATTACAACAGTCTCTTCCACGAGCAGAATAGTGATTTGAGAATCGAAATAAATAAAACTCGAGAAATTGCGATGAAAGTCTCCTTGGCAACAGTGGATTCTTCTCCAAATTTGACAGAAACTAGTAAAACGTGGAGACGTCATTTCACACTTGGCTCGAGAGACAAGAATAACTTAGTTATGTCTGAATTCTTCAATCTGGTTGTAAAGTGTATAAGACGGCAATGGGAGTTCGTGTGGGTCATTCGCCGATAACGATGGGAGGAAATTGACGCATTTTTTAAAAAATTATTTTCGTAGATTCAATACTGTTCAGTGCACGAAACTGTCACAAGACTTTTATGGAGACATGCGATACGCTACTCCAAATATCAAACGCAATGGGAAGACTCAAATCTGAATCTTCAACGGGGAAGTAGGTGGAGTGGACTTCAGACCAGCACAGCAGAGTGCCATCTAGAGCGGCCATAGAGTTGTCCAAGGATTATAGCGAAGAATAACGCTCTCTGGTCATTTTCAAGCTGCTGTCCAGAGTGTTCGGAGAAAAACGGTGGGGCCAATGCCACGCTTGGACATTCAGTGGGGCTTCAGTGGGCCCGCATGTCATCATACACCTGTAGACAGACGCCGTGAAAAGATGGAATCTTCGCTCGCGGAGTAAAGTGCCAGTCATCTGAAAATAAAGCACCTCCAGATCGGTCATGAACAGTGTAAGAACCGCTTGTTGCGAAGAAGGTCGGTGAGTCGCCCCCTGGCCTTCACAAAGTCCACCAACACGTCTACAATCCACCAAGACAAGATTCACTCGCTGCCTTGGGGGAGAATGCAGAATGGAGGTGAATCTGGCAAGATTTTTGACTCGGTAACTAATTAGCAACCGAGTCCGTGAGATGTGGAGGCCTTCTGGCTGCGGGGTCTCGGAATGAAACTGTGGAAGAGTAGATGAGAAGGACAGATGGAACAACCACACGCCCGACCTGCGCTTTCTCGTGAGATTGTCAATGAGCCGAGCCAGCTAAGGCGGTCGCTTAGTCGCTGGACATCCTCGTGCGTCTGCTGCAGTGAAACGAGCGCCTATACCGAGAGTAAAGACGAATGATGCTCTCCTCTAGATAACAGACACCTCCTCTGCTATTCTGCTACCCCGCCTTTGTGGAAGCAAGGACCGCGAGAAAGGTCTCGATCCTATTTGCAGTCGATTGGGCCCCGAGCCTGGTCGTGAGGGAGAGAGTTTAGAGTGGGCAGCATCTTTGACGGCCAAGCGCTGGAGTACCGATGACATTGCCCGCTGTTGGAGCTGGAGTTGTAGTCGCTGCCTCAGAAATCGCTGGAAGAGAGGAGAAGATACGAGATTGATAGATGGCCTGCTAGAACCCAGGAATTCGGGATTAGATGGGCTCACATGAAATGCTGTAATCATACTTTCGTTCAAGCATTGGAGAAAGGCTCGATATCGAGGCATGGAGGAGCAGCCAGAATCCGGATGCGAGAAGAGGACTGAGTTTAGCTCGAGAGAATGATGAGAAGTCGATAATTCTGTGCGACACATTGGCGAAGAGTGAATTTTCGATCGTCCTGATTACGCTCTAGAAATCCGTGACTCGAATTCCACGGTCGAACGAACTCCCATCCATCCGCAGGCGGAAATGGAGTCCAAAGCAGGAGATCATACAGCGAGCCCGACGCTGACGAATCACATTCTGGAGTCTCTATTCTTCTCGATGTCGGTGTACGAGCCGACGCAGGAGGCGCTGCTCAAAGATCTGGAGGCCAGATTCGGCAGAGTGCAGCCTCTGATGAGCTACGGGTTCGAGGCGAAGCGGGACAAGGGCCAGCAGGTGATCTTCGTGGCGAGGAGCCACAGCGGGAGGGTGATCGTAGCCTGCCGAGGCACCTGCGGTTTCAAGGACGTGCTGCAAGATCTCAAGTACATCAAGAGCCGGCTGTCGTTCGCCAAAGGCGCAGCGCACTGGGGCTTCGCGGAGAGAGCCGAGAGCGTGCCCATCGATTTCTTCCGCAAGCTGCTCGACGCCGGCGAGGAGATCATCTTCACGGGGCACTCGCTGGGCGGGGCCGTGGCGTCGCTGCTCACGCTCAGGGTACTGGAATCGAGCAACGAGCGCTCGGTCGACGAGCAGGTGCGATGCATCACCTTCGGATCGCCGCTCTTCGCCAGCAGCCGGCTGGCGGAGATGATCAACGACAAGTACAAGGACATCTTCATCCACATCGTCTCGAGGCGCGACTGCGTGCCCAAGATTCTGCCCTTCGTGTCGGCGCTGCAGAAGCTCGTGTACTCGGACGAGGACCACCTCGAGGGCCTGGTGGTGCTCAAGAGCGCGCTGGCGCTCGTGCCGTGGCTGCCCATCGCGCCCTTCGTGACGGCGCTCGAGGCGCGCATCCCCGCGGCTTTCAAATTCGCGCTCCGCTGCCTGATGAAGCTGGCGCTGCCCTCGGGGCTGGCGGGCTCGTACGCCTTCGCGGGCCATATCGTCATGCTCGACACCGTCGCGGCCGTCAACGTCGCCAACTCGCTCATCCTCGCCAGCGCCGAGGACCTCAATGCCTGGCACTCGCAGCTCAATTTCGCCTTCGGCTCCGGCTTCGATGTGACCATGATCGAGGAGCACATGCTCGACTGCTACCACGACGGCATCGTCCGCGCTTTCTCGCAGGTGCGCGTCACCCGCGAGCTCGCCGGCGCTGCTGCCGCGCTCGGGGCGCCTCCCTCGCCCGCTTGGAGCGAGCCTGCCCCCGCCCCCTCGAGGCCTTCGGAGGGAGCGAAGGATGGAGTGATTGTGGTGCGCATGATGCCCCACGATGGGGACTCGGGAGGGTGCGAGGTGCAGGTGAAGTCGATGCTCTTGCCATCGTCACAGGTCGGGAATTTGGCGGCGGATGGAGGAGCTGTGGGCAGCGAGAAGTGGGTGGTGAGAAGTGAAGAGATGGCGGGCAAGAACCTGGCGGCGCCATTGAATAGGGCCAAGTCGTTGGCTTCGTTCGGCAGGCAGGGAATTGGAGGCGATGGCAAATTTATTTGCGCGCATAATCACAGTCGGAAGCTCGAGAGGTCCTTGACGATGATGGCCAGGAGCACGAGCTGCTCCTCGTCGTCTTCGTCTTTGGTATTGCCTGTTAAGACGTCCACGTCGGAGAGACGGCAGGATGGAGTGATTTCCACGAGGAATGACGGTTCTTCCAAACACCGATGCAGAGCTTGCCAGTGCCTGCACATGTACATGAATGTCAAAGGCTCGTGCAGGCAGGTGACGAAGAATTTTTTCAATTTTGGCTGGATTTTAGGTACTGTGGGAAGAGTTGCTCGCCACTTGAAGATATTAGACAATCTCTGTGCTCTCACATTTATCCGGTTCGTCGTGGGAAACATTCTGGGTTGATGAAATTATTTACGTCCAGCGTTCCCATAAACAGAATTGAATTGTAGAAATATTGTAGGACAGAAACAAGACAGTCAGGAGAGTTCGCATACAGTTTTCCACACATTGTAGGTGGTTGAACGATACGACACAGTTCCGGATCGATCCTCAAGAACCGGGTTTTTCGATTCTTCATAGCGTCCACGATGTATACCAAAGCAGACGATTAGTATGAAATTTCCGAGAGGTGAGAACGAGGCCCTTTCCCAACGACAGATAGACACAGTTGCTTTACAGGCGATCTGGAACATTCAATTCAGGGTTTCTTACAGGAAAATGTACGTGTCTCCGATCGGCTGGTTTAGAATTTCAAGACCTGAATGCGGTTCATGTGAAGGTGAACATTAATCTGCCAGTGGCAGGTGTTGACTCGATGAACATTCCCCTTGCTAGCCAATGCAACTTTGCTGGCAGCTTTATGTATTATCAACCATTTTAATACCAAACGCATCTATTGTAAATATCTCTGATGGTTATGCCTTTTTCGCTTCGGTTTTCTTCTAAACATTTACATGCCTGCTTACTCCACGTTCATAATAAATCCAGTCGCAAACCTTGAAACGACACCTACCCACCCTAATTTCACACCAGTTGAAGCAACCAATTCTAGAGGGAAATTAGACAAAGCAACATCAGACTCGCATACGCTTGCTTTGCATGTGTAGCTACCGTAAATTTGCAAAGAACGATATATGGAGCTGTCTGTACGTGACGAAGCTGTTGCCGTCTTCGTGCTCATTAGAGGAATCAAGCGGACCGATAGAGGAACTGACAATTGTCTTCACAGGAAAACGGCCCGATGGATAGATGTTCATTGGCTCTAGTGTTACAGTCTGCGTATAGCCTTACAATCAATGTCTGTTTAGCAAAAAGTGACATGACACTTGTCGCTATTTCAAAGTGACCTCCCTCCGGTAAATCGTCTGTTGCGCGCTCTGTCTTTGCCCGAGGATAGAATGCAATCCACGTGTGTAAGGATATGAGGAATGACACGACTCTATGGCTGAAGGACTGCTTAAAGTCGACTGAAGACCTACCTTCGGCCGACACCTCATTCGCTGGGCATTCCACTGAGACGCTGGCTAAATAGATTCGTTGGATGGGCTGTCCAGAGCTAAACTCTGCTAGGAAACGTCATTTTAGCACGAGAGTGTTAATGTGGATGTGTGGATCTGAGCTCTGGACAAATCAGTGTATCCATGCAGACCCAAACAAAGCAGTTTCCCCTTTCGGGTGCGAAACTAACGGATGAGTTTCGTCTGAAAGAAAGGACAAATCTCTGCAAGAGATTGCTCTTCTTAGCACGTGATGACGCAGCTGAATCTTCTGCAGATAGGAGAGCTTCAGTCGTCTAGAGAAGTTGAGGTGTCGAAAAAAGACAGAGCGAGCTGGAAGCTTGCGACCATTAAAAGTCCCGCGAAATTGTTCCTACTTCACACTGGTCACGGTTTGGGAGCTTGGCGGACCTGTGTCACTGGAGCTATTCAGTAGAGGATGGTGTGAAGAAAGCAAGGAACTACTTACTCTTCGGACTTCCCAGTTCATTCCAGTAGACGGGCAAAACGGTGAGCTTGTTGCGGGAGTGACACACAACTTCCACCGATCTTGGATTGCTCATAACCCTACCGACGAGAATCGCAGAGCGGCGCACAGACATATCGTGACAATCTTGACGTTCTTCTCGAAAGCATAGCTCTTCTGAAGGAAGGTGTGCTGCGAGTTCGAAGGTCTGGAGGTTAGGATGGTGTAAAACGTATTTCAGGAAGTTCCGCTCAAGCAGATTTTTGACTGGTGACGAAACCTAAAATGCTCTTAGTAGCTTGGCCATAGTACAAGGCAATGGTAAATTCGTTGTTAGGGTGTTTCTCTTGGAAAGATCTTGCAATCAATCGACAATTCTTGCGTCAAATGTTTCTTGATCGTTGAGAATTTTTACATTACGGATCCTTCCCAGACGTAAGAAACTGAGTAGTCACCACCTCGGTGTGGGACTCTAAATAGCTTCTATAAACCTGCTCTTGAAATCCTCTACACATCCAAAGTATACTCATAAATATACTCGCAGGGAATCTCTTAAGAGGCGCTCATGGAATCAAACAATTTCTGCTCCGTTCTTCATAGCGTTTACAGCTAAATCGGGGGCTCTGGATGGTCAATATGCACATTTCCTAGCCGCCATACGCGCCACCCGAGGATTAGATCAGCGGACGCAAGACTTGATCTACAGCACGTGTTGACAAAATTTTCCAGTGATTTGACCTCACTGATGGTCTTCTGGGTCAAAAGCAGAACAAGAGTATCGGTAAAAAGTGAGGGGTCCAATTCAAAAAGGTGGGCTGCCATTATCATCCTGGAGATAACCGGTGCCGAAGTGTCGGTGGTTTTGATCGCCCCTATTGACGAGAAAGAACCCCATGAACGGAAGCTGGTGAATGAGGCAGGTCTCGATCTCGCACGCCACACTCTTGTTGGGCAGCGGAATGTAAAGGACCGACGCTTCGCTGAGCTCTGCCACGGTTCGATGGACGGTGATTCGGCCTGACAAATTATCTGTCTGGCCCACATAGAACATCCCATCCGGCCGTTCGAGAATGTAAACACACGACCGATTGGTGATAGTGGGAGGAGGTTTCTGTCGTGGGCCAACGTAAAAGCACTTGATTCCCCTTCCAGCTTCACGATCTGCTGCATCGTGCTGCAGTTGACCGAGCTTCTCTTCGCATATCTTGACAAAAGCTTGGTCAATTCGGGCAACTGACCCCCGACTACTTCTGGGCGATCCATTCATGTCCGATCTAGTAATATACAAGTCGCTTTCTTTCGGCAAGTTGAGGCGCTTCACTAACAAGTCCTTCGTCATTGCCGCTTGCTGAGTCCCAACTAAGGGCCTCGTGCCCCGGGGAGAGGCGTTTAGTGAAGACAACGGATTTAAGGTACTCGCCGACCTTCCAGCCACCAAAACCGTGTCACTCGCGGCAGCAGAAGCGGCAGCTGCTGCAGATTGGTTGGGAATCGCCCGAGGTTTCTCAGCACTTGATAACCTGGCTTCCTCAACTCCTGGACTCTTTCCAAGCGGTGCACTGAAAGCTGGGTTGCCACTGTCTCTACTGCCTTGAAGGTTTGATCCTTCTCTGGCAGGAAGAGCCAGGCTTGTACCTCCCAAAACTCGAGGCAAACTCACGTCTACGTACAATGGTTTCTTGAAATTCTCGTCGGAGTCCTGGCAATTTGTTTCCGAATGATGGTTCTTCCACGCTTCGTAGAATTCCTCCGCCCGGTTCACGATGCTGTCGGGAACGCCCTCCTTCCTGGCAGTCTCGAACGCCAAGCTCTCTCGGCACTCTCCATCGACCAGCTTCCAGGTGGGTTGCAAACGACCATCCACCAGTTCAGCTCCCATGGCCTTCCTTACAACTCTCGGAGCATTCAGATCCATGTCGAGGAGGCCATGCAAGTGGGTGGAGATCACACCCAAGCAACCGACTTTGTCCAGATGCTCCAACACACTGGCCACAATGAATGTGCCCTTGTTGACTTCCGTCCCTTTGCACAATTCGTCGTAAAGAACGAGAGATTTGGATGTCGCCTCGCTGGTAATGCTGCGAAGTTCGGACATCTCCATCTGAAATGAGCTCTTCCCATCAGCTGGACTGTCCGATATCATCATGCGCAACATTATCGAGTCCAGCCGAGGGACCACAGCAGAGCGGCAGGGAACCGTCAAACCACAAGTTGCTAGAAGAGAAGCGGCACAAACCGATCGCAGGATGCTGGACTTGCCTCCACCGTTCGGTCCCGTCAGGAGAAACATGGACGACATCTGAATTGTGTTCAGCACAGCCTGCTCCCGAGTTCGATCCAACCAGTAGGGAAACATATCTTGCAGGTACAAAAATGACTCTCCTGCACCACTACTATCAACATCGCCTTCTCCCGTCTTCTCGCTGACCTCATCTTCCGAGCCTTGCAGAGGTGCAGGCACGACCCATCTCCGCCTCCTTGCCTCGCTGACATGAGAAAAAAGTGTTTTGGCGATGACCGAGATCGAGGCAACGAAGACCACAGCATTCATCTTGCACTGCAACTCTTCCGCAATACCTTTCAGACAGTCCAGTACAGCCATGGACGCCGCTTCCACAGCGGACCTGTAATCACTCAGAGCTGCATCGACGCGCTTGGTGGTGTGCCATTCATCGCCGACCTTCTTACCTTTGGAATCCAGCGCTGGTTTCAGACGCTTGATCTCTTCCTCCCCCGGGGTGCCACCCCAGACCGTCGGCACGAAGCGCCTGCCCTTCAACCATATCCCTTTGTGTTCACGGCTGTACGAAACCTCCGCTTTGGCCCCTCCTGCTCCTCCTCCGAGAGGTGCAGCTAGCGCCCGAGTCCTCTTCACGATCGGAGTGAAATCTTCGTCCAAAATCTCGGCCAGAACCGTAGCTGCTCTGTCCACGTCCGCATATGCTTTCTCCACATGCTCTCTCCTGACGCGGCCCCTCCATCGGACTTCCATGTCCTGGAAGAACTCATCCGGCACTAGATCGCTCTTGCTTATTGCGTTCTCGGGATCCCCTGCAGGAGCGAGCACATCACTCAGTCGTTTGACGAAGAACCTGCAGTCCTCCACGAGATGCTCCCGGCCGATCCTCAACCCCGTCGCCAGCCAAGTTGGGTCCAGTAGCAGATCCAAAATTCCTGTCAGCTGAGGCTCACTGTCCATCAGCAGAACATCCTCCGCCATGTCTCTCAAACGAGCGAACTCGATGTGATTGGCCTCCCTCGCCCCAATCAACTTCACGAGCTTGGCAGCGGACACACAAGTGAAGTCGGGGATAGAGCAGGAGACGCTGGTCATGAGACGAACCGCTTGCTGGATTCGACTCGCCACTCGATGTGGAGGTGGATTGAGGAGCAAATCTCGTAAGTAGGCCGTGCAGAGCCCATTCACGTCCTTGGGAAGGAGCACTTTGAGGAGACTCGGCACTCCTTGAGTTGGAAGAACGCCGACCTGCGCAGCAGTCCCCACGTACAGAGGTCGAGGGCGCTCACCGGGAGGAGTTACGATGCTCCGAAACTCAACGTCCACGTCCAAATCATAAAGCTCCCGCACCCTCGACAGCAGCTCAGAAACTGGTTCATTCTCGTACCACTCGAATTGCTTCCCTCTGCACTCACCCCACAGCAACCCTCCTTCGCCAAACTCGCCCCAACGTACCGTCTCGGTCGAGTTGTACTTCAATGTCTTGTGCAGGAAGAGCCTTTGGTATGGCTTCGCTCTCAATTTGGCGACCACAGCTTCTTCGGTCAGCTGATCGTCGACAGAAACCGTTCGAAGCATCTCCACTACAGAGATGAAGCGATAGCCCAGCGCAGAACGCGCAATGCCGATTACCGGAACGGGGTCAGGGAAGTCGACGTCGAGATCGGCTTCAGCCAGTCCATAGACGTAAGGACTGCCAGGATGCGCGTGGCCGGCGATGAATCGCTCTTTTCTCTGCCTGACGTTGCTGGGACCCTTGACTTCCTCCACGATGCAGACGGAGAACCCGTGCCTAGTGAGGTCGTCCAGAGTTTGGCGAAGGTTCACGATGGGGCACCCTGCTTTCGGCACGGCGTCGCTCTTCAATCCTCCCATGGGGTTCAGGCCTGCATACTCCACCAGCACGCAGGCATCGAATCCCAGCGTTTCGTAAAACTCGCCTATCCGGCAGAGAATTACTTCGTGCGGGAATCGTCTCTTGATCTCCAGAAGCTCCGCCGCAATGGAGCCCTCCTTCAAATTACCCATCCGAAGGCTGGGGTTGACTCCGAGGAGGTTCGTGAAGACGAGGCGCTTCATCAGCTCTCTCGTCGAGGACTTCTGGCACTCGCTCATTCTCTCCTCCCACCAACTGATATACTTCGCGTCTCCACGTTGAGAAATCCTCTCTGCCGCAGCGTGTTTACCCACCGAACTGCCTGATCGACTGGAGCCGCTCTTGGTCCTCAACCCTCTGCTCTCCTTGATACAGGAAGCCGCAGCACCTGCGGCAGCTTGAGATCTGCAGACAGCAATCGAAGGAAGCACCTGCCGAAATTGCTTAGCAGGCCATCCACGGGTGGGGATGAAACCCTTCCGCCCATTCGATTTGCTCCAAAAGTGGCGCCAATTTCCTTTCTCCGGCACACTGCGACCACAATCCAAACGCTGCTGGAGGTTTACATTGACACGCTGGACGTCAGAGTGCGCCCAGCTCTGCGCAGCGCAAACGAGCCGTAGGCTCAGCCTGCCTTGTCCACCCATCACGATGGGCATGGGTCGCTTATTCAAAGGCAGGCTCATTATCCTATACCCCTAACTCATAAATCCCGAGCCAATGTCGACAGAGCCACAAAATTAGAAAATTTGGTCCTCGCTCGGTCCAAGGAATCGGCAATGCAGCAGCAAGGAGTCATAGGCACGCCATTTCCACAACCCTCCAAGAAATCGAGAAAACCGGGTGTGATCTTAAGTGCCCACCAGAAGCTGCGACTTCAGGACATTGACAGCTGCTGGAGGTCAGGCGAAAAGATTGCGTGAGGGTTTAAGGTCTTGGCAATTTGTCCAAAATCCCAAACCATCAGTCGCAAAACCCACGCAACTATCATCATGGCCTCTGTGTCTAATCTCCGTAATTGAAGCGAAGAATCCCGATTTGTATCCGCAACGTCTGATTGAAGAATCAAAACTCGGGCCAAATTGCTCGACTCAGCAGAATTTCTTCAACGAGACCTTGATTAGGCTTTGGATACCGGTGGAATCCGGTGGAAATTCACATTCATGCCTTGTGAACCAGCTGACAGCCGCTCCACTCGTCTCCAAAATTCAGCTCCGTCGAGAAAATAGCACTCCATTTTGACCCGTCCCACCCGCATGCTTCACCTGGAATAGGCACGAAAACCCTCGACGAGTCAATCGACGACTTCCAAATCCACACACGCTTCGGCGGATCATGGAGGACTGCGGCGCACGTCCGATTCCCTCTACGAGTCCCGCGCGGAGCACAAAACCCTGAGAGAGTGGCAGCTGCGGCCATGAAAGGGTTCCGGGACCGGGACCCGGTTTCAAATCTCGCGTGGAAGGGATGATGCATCAGTTCTCCTCCTTCCGCGGCGTGCCCACTCGCAACACACATCAGCAGCAGCAGCAGCAGCAGGAGGAGCCCAATGCCCAACGTTCTCCGAACTCTCCGGCCTCTCCAGCCATTCCCCGCCACGGGCGCCGCCAAAACTCGCCCCCGCTTGTCAGCGGCCCCGCTCCATCAAATCCCATTTAAAGCGCGGCGTGCGCTTTAAAGTACAACGGGCCGATAGGTGTCCAGGAGCTCTCTTCCTTGCCTCTGCGCGTTACGTTCTTCAGTCTGAAACCTTGCCTTCAAGCCGTCATCGAGGGAAGGGAGGTGATGAGGAGGAGGAGGAGGAGGCGGGGGAGAACAATGCTGCAAACTGTCAGTGATCTTGTTACAGTTTCGGATGGAATTTTCAACAGATTCGCCCTCCTCCGCGATATCCGGTGTGCATCAGGTAGGTTGACCTTGCTGCAGGTTCTGCGTATCTGCAGATGTATCGCGACTCGGACTGGGGGTTGGGTTCGCTATAGGATCTGCCAGCATTACGCTGCATTATGCTGCATTACGCTGCTTTCATGGTGTTTACCTCGTTCGGGACCACTGGAGGTAGGCAAATTTTGAGATCAAGGCCAATGCCCACCTTTGAATTGACTGCTGATATTCTTTGATTCCAACCTGGGAGGTTTTAACCACCTCTCAGCTGTGGCACGGAAGAAGAGTTTGGGTTTGATACTTCCGCCTGGCTTAGATTTTCGATCGTCCATTGGTTTGTACCTTATGGTAGGTTGGTAATTGGATCTGTTTGGCCATGGAGTTTATTTTCTCCATTATCCCTCCGTATGCTCAGAAAAGCACGGCACTCGGATACCAGACATACGACCACTGTGCTTCTGTAAAGATGGGGTCTTCTACGCGTAAGTTGTGCAGCACTTAGAAAGTTTGCGCAGACGTGTGTTTCCCTTCGCAAATTGCAAACCTTTGGCGAGAAATGAAGTGATCGGATAGACAATTCTCAACTTCATTTCTTCTCCTCGCGTCGATGGCCTCCGCTCGTACTCAATGAACGTTAGAGTAAAATGACTTTCAGTATAAAAACTATTGGTTATCGAGTTTTCCGATCGAAATGACTGTTGAATTCTTTTCACAATTGTTTATATAACTAAGCATTATATTGTCTGTCCGAACAATCATTTTGCACAAGTCAAATTCTGTGTACCAGGACGTCTGCCACGTATACAAGGCATTCTTTAAAAAACGGGAACGCTTGTGATTGCATTGGCAAACGTCCCTGCTCATTAAAAAAACGAGTATTTGACATCCCAGATCTGACTTTGGCAATTGCACAAGAACAAGGGAGAATTGCCATGAGAACAAAATATTTATAAGTATTTCACATAGAGGCGCCTAGAGTACGAGCTGACGTCTTCCAGCCAACCAAAACTCTGGGTACCACGAAACACCACCGACACCAGAAAGTGCACTCCTCGCACATAGTACCCACCTCTTTCCATCTCCTCATCAGGGCTCCTCTGAACTCGACGGACGTTTGTTAAGGACAATGTGACATCCGTTGAAACTCGATGGATCAGTAGTTCAGCTCTACTAATACCGCCGTCCACAAATCACAGGGCCATGACTAATCACGAGAGTTCCACCAGCACCACGTCTTCCTGATTCAGAAACTCCCTACCTCTCCATAAGTCTACAACCATAACGTATCAAGGGTTCAAACCCAATGTTCTCACAATGGAACTTCATGCACAACAAAGAAGCTTGTTTCCATATAGTACCAGTTACCCTTCGTCCTTACCTTAAACAAAATTCCCTCTGCATGCTAGCAGATACAACAAGCAATACTCAAGACTTATCCAATGGTTAACCCAAGTATATTTCACATCCACCTGCTTGATGGAACTCCCTGTGTCATCCACAAGGACTGTCGTTCATGAAACTGCTGCTCCTTGCCTTCGCCCAGTTTGGATCTCCTAGTAATCTCTGCAACCTATTCACAGTCTCCTTTGACCTAGCTATTTGTACAGAGTATCCCGTACCAGAGTTTCATGTCGAGTATAGCTCCATGACTCTGAGGATCACATGTATCATAAGGATGATTTGAATGATTGCCTTGTCACAGTATTCGTGATCTGTGACCGGCTCCAGGCACAAGCACTGCCATCGTGGTTTTTAAGGCACACACCGCTCAAAAATAGAGACCACGGGAACGGACTGTGCTGTCGGTAGGATGACAGCATCAGCTTGAGTGATTTAAATTCGTTGGCGGCCATAAATCAGACTTATGATGTTGGAGAAGTGACATAACACAGGCAGAGTCACCATCAGAATATACTCTACCTGTGTTTATCTCATCCCGACTTTATCCCACCTGTGTACCCACTGTGCTATAACCATTGTCACTGGCCTTAAGTCCCAAATGTCGGCAAATATCGTTACACTTGTGAGAACTGAAGAACAGTTTGAAGCCAGCGTCTCCAAGATTGGTTCTGGTGAACCGCATAACATCGGTGCAATGAATAGAAGGATCACAAAGCCAAAACATGTACCGACCACCGTTGCCACTTGGCTGCATGACACCTTGTAAATCAGTAACCATCAGGAGACCATTAGAACGCTCGTGTGTCCAGTGAGTGAAGGCCTGTAATGTAGCAGCATAATCTGCTGTATTGACGTATCCAGCGTTGTTGGAATATCTGATCCAGTTACCCTCCAGGAACTTCTCCATGTTGTATATTTTCGATCCCACTTGCAAGGTAGACACTAGTGTGAATTCGACTTTCTTCACGCCTCGGAGACCACTCGTCCTGAAAACAAGTTTGAATCGAGCATAAATTATTGAGTGTGACTTGCTCCCAACTTGTAAGAGTATTTATTGCAATGATGGAGAATGTAAGTGAATCCAAGAAAACAGAACTATCTGTTACCTGTTGTTAAACTCGTGAGCCATGTGTGCGGCTACTGTCTGCACCTCCATCTGGCCTAGGTAGCGCTCCTTCGAGTGCACTTGACGGATGTTGTGTCCGAAGGGTACTTTGAACCTCTTCACGACCATATTCCTGTAGGGAAAAGAGCGTCTCCTTAGGTCTTGCAATGCAATCAAATGAGTAAATGATAGGTTTTGTTAGTAAGGGCCAAATAAATTTTGAGATTTCCAAGACTAAAATGCTCTGGTACCTGACAGGTTGACCATGCTGAATGACTGCCGCATGGTAAGGCCACCTCATGGTTCCTTCCGCACTGAAAGGATGAGTTGCAATTTGCACTTGCAATGAGTCCATCTCTTCAACCTCAAGAGCTTCTCGATTGGCAATCTTTTGCATGAGGCCATCTAGAAAGTGATACCACCTGCACATGATGTGTAGATGACGTTAGTTGAGTAATCAATTTGAGTAGATCTGCACAGTAATCAAGCAGAATTCACATGCATCCCGAATTCTTCATCGTACCTGTGCTTGTACTGTTGACCATTCAAAAGGGCAATACTGGCCCAATTCGGTCTACTTGGGATCACATTCTCTGGTATGAAGTTTGTTCCATGCACATGACTTCCAATGCCTGATAGGTTACTCAGGGTCCTACTGATTGTGCTGCGCGACATAGTAACCACTTTCTGTGGAATGCCATTGATGTCCCTGAAATGTGCTTCTTCGATCCAACCAGGCTCCCCAGCTGCCTTCTTGAACTCCTGCATCATCTTCTTTGTCCCATCGTTCAGGTGACAGAAGTAATAATGCGTAACTTGGCAGTGTTCACGCAGCTGCATAAGGAGAGTATGAATGTTGCGCCCATATTTGTCCCCTTGTGGATAGTTATCCCATTCATTGTTCTTCTCCACTGGAAAGTCATGGAACTGTGTGCCGTGGCATGGGGCGTCACATATGTGCACCAGTAGTCTGTTTCGAGCCTGCCAATCCAAGTTTGCGACTCGCTGCAGCCCAGTAAATACGTCCTCCGCGGCATCTCCACCACCCTTGGCCCGGACTCGCGACAGAGCTCTTATGAAAGTGCTTCCGGAGCCATCGAAGTCGCTCGTCAAATTGCATCCTTTGGAATCAATATCTGTATTGGAATCGTCGTAATCTCGGTACAGAACGAAAGCAACTCGCAAGGTACATTCAGGATATGCTTGGCTTATTCCGGCAGACATAGCAGCTACTTTATCTTTGACCATGTCGATGGAATCCTGCGTTGAAACAAAAGCTGGAAAGAGTCAGATTATAGTCGATGGAAATAAAACCCTCTTACTGGGACAATCTAAGAGTCGGATAGGCTAATTACCACAATGGTCACCGAACATACTTAGGAGGCCAAAACAAATTAAAGCAGCTCTGCCAACAAAGGCATTAAAAGGTCGCGCCTGAACAAGCACAACAAGCACGTTGATTACAGGTTTCTTAAGATGCAGAAAGTTATAGGAGACCCCAGAAATCAAGTTTTGAGAAAGATGCGAAGGCATCCTGACGGGTGACCGTCAGAACAACATGTGATGGATCAGGTTATTGGACAACTCAGACTACCCTGAGACCTTCACTTTGAGAAGAAAAACTAGGAAATGCAAACTCGCAAATCATATTCAACATCTAGCACAAGCTCCTTCGAGTACAAATTTCATTGCGCATCTGTCTCTGTGACCAATAGGCCTTGATGGCTAAACGCAATGTTGGCAAACAATCTGCGCCGAACCGACTTGTGAGAAATCCTCTACAATCAAAACATACATTCTCATAGGAAATTTGATTTCACCTGCATGCTCGCGGTTGCATCCAACAAGAACGCCAGGTCCAGCTCTTGCGCTTTCATGATCATAACCTTGATTTCTTCTCGGCGGGCCTTGGTATCAGCTGCATGTTGCTCGACAGAGTAAGGAAGTCGCTGCAGATCGAACTGCCCTGAGGCTCTTTTCAGCTTCTCATTCTCGTTCTTGAGACGCTCGATCTCCTGTATGACCAGATGCGTGCGCGAGGACAAACTCGAGTTGCTGCGCGCAGACCCAATGAAGCTCCCATTGGGCCTGGGAGGCATGAAATAGGCGCGGGCTTCGCTGGCCGACATTGCGGAAGGTTCGCAACTCCAGAAAAACCTGCAGTGCTATCTGCGGCGCCACAATAACCAATTCAGAACCTCTGTCCGAAGCTGCCATCAGAAACAAAACAGTCACACATTGGAAGGAACCTGTACGAGACAGATTTCCTATGAACAGATAATCCCAGAAAAAGAATCAAGCATTCGACGAAAGATCTCAGAAGGACCAACCCTACGCTTCAAACATCAATGCATTCGCCGCAACGCAGAGAAGCGCCAAAACTCTTCAGCACTGTCAAAGGACTGTCAGACTCAGCGCATGGGGGTGTCGCAGCTGAGGGCAGGCAATCAGCTAAGCGTAACAAGCTGCGCCCTGTTTCCGCCATCAGCTGATCACACAGGAGACAGTTCGACCATCAACAGCAGTCCACCCTGCTTCACACAGGGGAGTACTGTGGTCGGGGGACAACGCCTGCTACAGCTACTGAAATAGAAAGTCAGTGCCTCCCAGGAACACTGCGTACTTCAGCGAGGAAAGCTCCAACGACCCATGCCCTGTTTCTAACTTGAGCTCAGGAATGGGGACCCGTACAGTTCCTATCCGTTACTTCCCAGAAACGTACCACATACCGCGTGATAACTGAATCTCCGTCTTAAATGTCCATGATGCAAACTCAGATAAGACCATTTGGCCAACAGACCGACTCGTCACAACGTCGGTGCAACTGCAATGAGGTACTACGGTACTTCCCAGCAGTAGTGTACACTAGGACAACTCAGTAAGCCCCGAGCTTTCGCGGCATTTCTCTCAGTTTCACATTTATTACTCCGGCGGGACGATGAAGAGAAAGGCCTCAGTGAGCGCCTCCAGAGGCTTCGTTCTATCGGGGAATGTAATGTCGATCGACAGGCAGAAAGGAAAGGCGTTGCATACTACGGCGGGTTGTGAGGCGGTCCAAAAGCGGTAGATCGAGTCGGAGGGAAGGAGAAATGTACAATGCCGGTTGGCAACAACGCACAGGACCTCTACTCGAGGCTACTCTGCTATAATTTGCCCCGCTCTGTTCGAGACTGTCGCTTCGACACGAGAACGCTAATGCAAAATGCAGTGCACTGACGACATTGCTCGAGGTCAATGAACTTCACCGACGAAGACGAAAAGTCCACCGACCTACCCGCCAGGCGGACGACTAATCGGCAGGAGCAGGTGGCAAGGTCTCGGGGCGACGAAACACCCCCACATTCGCTTCCCACGAGCACCTGAGCTCGAGCTCGGCGCAGCTCGGACCGACACAGGGACGAAATTCAACAATGCTGCAATGCAGGGCGCGGAACGACGAACGGCGACGCGGCAAAGGGGCGACGACAGGCACCTGAAAATCAGTAGCTGCAGCTCCTGCTCCTGCTCCGACGCGAGGAGGCGCTATCCCGCAACGTCTCTAGCCTCGGGCCATGACCGCGACCACGACGTCGACTCGGACGACGACTGTCACATCAAACGTTCTCCTCTCCCGAGCTCGCTCACTCGGCTCTGCTCAGTCTCCAGCAGTCAAAGATCGCACACTCCTCCTGCTGAGAGTTTCGATTCTCCAGGCTCCCCTCGGACGAGCGGAGCTGCCTCAGCACAGGCACGCGCGCTCTCACACACACGCTGGAGCAGCCAGCGCCCGCGGTGGTCAACCTCTGTCCCCGAAGGAAGAACAGCCTCGCCCCCTCTGCCCCACTGCCCCTCCGACGCCGTCCCTAGACCTCGTCCCCGTGCCACAGCATTGCGACCGGGACGATCGCCCCACAAAAGGAGACGCAGCAAAGCTGCCTGCAGAGGGAAGGGACCGGAGGGACGGAGTGGGCAAAAGCTCTGGCGTTCAGACAAAGACGAAGCGCGGAAAGTGGTCAGAGAAAGGCACAGCACCCCTCTCTCTCTCTCTCACTCTCTCTCTCTCTCTGCTGCCTGCCGCCGCTGCTGCTGCTGCACCTCTCCTCTCCGTCCGTCCTCAACCGAAAGACCGATTAAACAATTGTACAGCCCAGGACGCACACCCCCCTGCCCTGCATAGCGTAGCCTGCCTGGACCCCAGGCGCGCAATAATCGAAAGCTGGCCGATCGATTAATGCCGCTCCCGAAAGCGGACCGTGAACGGGAGGGGCATGATTTCATGCAGCCTGGTCGTATCCTCTCGACCCAACTCAACTCAACTCAACCCAACCCAACCCAACCCCACCCCACGCTCCCATTCCCTCCTCCTCCTCCGCTGCTGCAGCTCCTCCAAAGTTCCAATAGCGCCTTTTACAGCCTTCCACGTAAAGACCTTTGCGAAAGGTAAGACCCACCTCCTCCTCCTCCTCCTCCTCTTGCTCCTCCCTCTCCTCTTATTCCACCACTTATCGACATCTACATCCGCACTTAGCGCGGCTAAGTGCATCGTATCGCGCGAACGCGGACTTGGGATGATGATTAGCGTTCGGAAGCCCTGATTAGTTCCCGCCAGTGGAGATTACGAATAGTGGGGCATCGGTCTGCCGACAGCGGCGGGGCCGAGGGATTATACGCGTGCTTGTCGTCCACTGGCGATCGTTGCTTTACAATAGACGGGCGTACATCAACTAACAAATTGCGATATTGTCATACGATCGAAGCGGCCGACGTCACCCGACCCGCCCATCATGTGTACCAATAGGGGGGAGGGGTATTCGCTTTTTTTAAAGGGGTCGCTGGAATGTAGGGCCTTACGTCGTAGTCTGCGTCCATCCCCATACAAAATGGGGACAACAAAGATACTCGTAATCATTCATCATCCACCAACATATGAGGAGCATGACAGGCTTGATGCTCCGAGGCTCCGTCCTCCTGAGTTTGCTTCGGCGTCCGAGTTCTTCCCTTGGGAATTCGAGCTCCATGTGCCCGTGAAATGTACAATTTCAAGTCCATGTGCTCGGAAAAGCTTTCCTCTTCATAGGTTTCCTGTTTGGTACACTGACTGGTAATCTTTCATGATTTCCAGTTTCATTATTTGTCCTGTTGCCGTAAGGCATGACGTTGCATTAGAATGTTGTGAACCTGGAAGCCTGGAGCCCTGTCAAGTCGGTCAGTGGTCTCTGTATGCTTTCACCACCATTCTCCCTAAGTTGGGCACTGATCGAAATTCTTCAGTTACTGTTTCTTGATCTCTCTGGACTCAACTCAACGTTTTGTCCGAGGCTCGTACAAACAAAGACCCCAGATATTCTCCCCACAGAAAGCAACATGAAATACACTCTAAGCAACGAATTTTCGGAATCTTTCGGAAGGAGGAGTAGACGTGAAGGAAGGATGAAGAAGAAGCGTTTATTTCACCATCTAAATCCCTAAGTAGAGGAGAACAAGAAGTAAAATATTCAAACAAATTTTTCCGTAAAAAATCAATTCAGATTTTATACTTATCATGATTTTCCTTTTTCAGAACAGAAAGGAAAAACGCAACCCTTCCACCACTAATCCGATCTAGGACCCACTGAACACTAAGAACTGAGAAAATTTTTGTAAACGTATTAAAATCTTCTTATAAACAAGATTTCCAAAATACTGTTATTAGATCAGAAAGAAATCCCCAAGATTTCACTTGAAAGAAGAGCCAATGTTGGAGCTAGTATATTGACTTTTGAATCGGGAGTGTACTCGAACTCCATCGCCGTTTACCACCATTCGCAGTTGGTCCAACAGTGGTCCTCGCTATTCCCAAATGATCTGAGCATATATTGATCCGAGATATGAGTCTGTCTTCTTCATCCCTGCAGAAACTTGCTTCTATGGACTCTGCACCTAAATGCTCTTAACTTTGTAGATAATTATTGCCAAAAGTTTGCCGGTCACGGAACCACTTCATCATATTGTGCAGTCCAAACTTCACATAATAGTTGGAGACTTATAACAAGCTTGAACTGGTACATAATTAACAAAAACTCAATTATTCATCCGACTACACAAAATGTCAGAGACTTATTCGATTCTTGTAGTAAATTTTTTTCTTAAGAATTATCAATCCACCTGCACAAGATGTCAGAGTCTTAAAAGATGCTTTCAGTGATTTTTAATTCAACAACTAAGCTATCCATCCAGCTTCCTATCTAGAGTGTCACAGTGAGGTTTAAAAGGCGATTATAAAGTTCTCAAGCACTAAATTTTGGTGACGATATCTCCAAAGCTGGGACGGATTAGATAAGTCAACCAGATGCTGCTCAGTACATAATCCGATCGTGGCGTGTGGCTTCCCAGAGAATCGGAGTTACATGAGTCGCCTTGCCTTGTACAAGCAATGTGATGTAACAAGAAGAAATAATCAATTGCCAAGAACGGGAAAATTGAAGCTCCTCTTCAGTGCCACTGAACGGAGGTGGCAACGGTGTCGGGCTCTTCGGGGTCAGCCTAGGTGCCAAGGCCGCTGCCCGAGGCTCGACAGATGTCCAGCGTGCCGTTTGAGTTGCAGTGCGATCTGACGTGCGCTAATTCCGCATATCTGCTGACTTTGGAGCGTGAGGTGCGGTCCGCAGTGCTCCGCAAGATTCTCCCGAAGATGCCCCACAATTTCGGATTTAGGTCCTGTTGCATAGGGCACGAAATTACTAAGAATAGGTGCCCCAAACACAAACAATAATAGCAATTTTTAACCTGAAGTCAATGTGGAGGAGGAGAGGAAACCTCAGACAAAAATGTGATGGGAAAGGCCATCCGGAACGGCAGTTAAAGGACGGCCTAGGCCTGGAGAACGCTAGACAGACGTGAGAAAGAAAAAGCGGCCAATCCTGCTAAAATTAGATGCCACCAACTGCAGCAGACATGTTTTCTATGCCGAGCTAAAAGGGCTCGCACCAAGGGATTTTGGGTTTTTCTATGTCTCATCAATCCCTGCGTGATAAGCACTGAGACGGTAGGGTATTGACGATGGGATATAATCGGGCTTGCTGATACCATAGCTATACTAGCACGGGCTTCCTCAAAGTCAGCTAGTCACAGTGTGCTGATAAGAAGGGGCTCATAGAGAACGCAGAAACTTTTTCGAAAAGCCGTCCATTTAGGATCACAATATAGCTTTAGAGTTGGGTCTTTGTACAAATAATCTTCGGGGCAATACAAGGGTGAGTTTTGTACTTTAAATCTTCGATAGAGTGACAAGTGGAAAATATGACATCCCTTACCAACTCCTAGAATATAATCTTCTTTGCATCTTTGCAAAGTGAATGTTATGTGCACACTGTAACATTGTTACTATAGTTGTTGACTATATATTGGAGATAGCGCTACTCTCCACACGTTGACAGATGTGATCAGAGAAGGTCACATCATCAATCAAATTGGTTGTAATTTCTTGTTTCTCTTCAGCGGAAGCAGTGTTTTTTGCCAGAGTTTGGTTTCCGACAGCTGAACAATCGAAAGCTAATGAACTTTTCCCATTAGCATTGTGGAAATCGTTTGTGGACATCCCTCGTTGCACATGTATGACCATTAAACAAACCTACGTTGCGCAACCTTCACAGAAGAATTTATCTTCAGTTAGTCATAACTTGAAATTTACTTTGGAAAATTTCATACTTCAATGACAGTTTCTCTTAATAGATCAACTTAGAATTGGGCATTGCCCAAATGCTCCATATCGAAGAGCAGTGAGGTGACATTGAGTTCTCTTGCTGAACACGATAGACATATAAACCTGAGGGTCAGGCCTTACAGCTGGCTAGAAATATGCAGAGAGAAAATAAAATTATTTACATTGCATTTGACTTGTTGCATATATCATCATTCACGCATAGTCGTATCACTAGACCAGAGCACATACAATTATGATTCTCCACCAACTGGATTACAAATACATTTCCGTTAGGTGGTGCATGCATTTCTTAGAAAAACCTATTTCCTTCGAACTTGACCCAATGGTCAAGTCAATGGTATTCATTGCACTCATTTGAGTCTTCGGAGTCAAGACAAGACAACGCTGAGAATGAAATTCTTTCTTTTTGCATAACACGTGACAATTCTTTCTTTTTCTCATGCAACTCCAACCATGTCAAACTTTGAAACCAATGTTGACATACAAAAATATGAAAATAGAAGTGCTTTTCAATGCATATGGAAGTGAGGCACATTGTGAAGCACTTGGAATCAAAACACGTTACTGTTCTTTCAATGGTCGTCAAATATTCCGCCTCCCGAAATATCAAACTAACTGGACATGAGAACAGGAAAATGAACTTGAGATCCGACACCGAGCGAAGACTCTGGACCGTTGGAAAAGAAGCGCCGGGAATGGTTCAGCTTGCGCCTTCGTCACCTTTACAAAGCTTGATGCCGAAAATTCTTCCACTTTTCAAGCTCGATGTGAAACTTTCATCCTCCCCTGGCTTCTCGAGATTCCAGGAACATAATAACTTAATCCATCTTCTCGGATGTGAAAGCGCGGCACCAATCACACCGCAAGGGTGCCCCACACATCGACAACGACAGCGTATCATTGTGCTTCGGACATTGGTAAAACGGTTTCTTTTGCTCGATATAAGATGCTTACCTAGGATTTCATGTTTCGGACAAAGACGTAAGAACTGTTTTCTCTCTTCGATCGGATTTGGCTATCTTGGCTTCTAAGCGACATAATTCCCTCGGCGTACTTTCATTGGACAATGGAGTGCATGAGCTTTTGTGTTCATGGAATGATTTGCATCTTGGACCACGTCCGAGCGCGACCACAAATGTATGAAGTCTTCATCGGCTACGATTATAGGTTTGTGAAAATATGGGGCATTTTCTTGTCGCTTGATAGCTGATTTGAAAAGTGGAAGGGTTTTGACGTGATGTATTTTCTAAACATATCAATCTTCCTCGGAAACTTTTAAACTGAAGAAGATCGCAATGTGTGTGTTCGGTCTGCAGTTAAACATGTTTGAGCTTTCCAGTATCTGTCATTGTGGTAGCACGTTTCCTCTTCTTCTTTTCGACTTTAAATGGGGTTCAAGCATCTTATATATGTATATATAAGATGCTATTTTTATTTTTATTTATTTATTTTCGATTCCAACTGTAACGAACTTGGGTTATCTCTATTTGCTCTTGTACTCCATTCAGATCTAACTCATGTGGTGTTCCCAATGTCATTAGCTCAAACAGTCTTTTCAAATTTGTTGCTTTGTGAATGTTTTGGGTT